GTCTAGTTCTAGTTAACTCTCGTATAAAGAGGGGCCTTATGATAGGCATCTGTCTAAAACTTCCCGCTGAGTAATAATATAGGTTTCAGAGGTTACTGTTTCCTTAACACGAGTTAAGGGGGAGATTGTTGAGGTTAACTTCGGTTAAGGAGTAACCTCAGGCTCTAGTTATTTATAGTTATGTGTGTCGCTGGCTTTAGGTATAAATATACCTCCAAAGCCAAAGCTTTAAAGAATAGCCGAAACATTGTGTATTCACTTGTCAGTAAACCTGCTTAGTGCTCCAGTCGTGGACGTAGCCCTCGAGGGTGAACCACGTTATATGAGTGTCTTGTGAATGATTCTTGATTTTACGTGACTAGTGTTAAACATTTTAAATGAATTTTTTAGGTTTTTGATAGAGAAATGTCAATTTGCTAAGTGCAATAATCTATATTATGCAAACTTATTATGAATTTTTTTGTAAATGCATATTTAATTTAAAATTTTATGTCTTAGTAGAAAAAACTTTATATTCTTGAAATATGATATATGATTTTTCTTTATTTTTATTCTTGTTAGAATTTTTTATTTAAGTTTTTTTATTGCAAATGAGATTTGCTATGTATTTATATTTTTTGCTTGAAAAAAATAATTTAATAAGCACATATGTGAATAAATGCTTGAATTTTTATTATTAAAATAGTATTATTTAAAAATAGTGTTAGTATTTCACAAAAAATGTGTTTCAACCAGTTTATGACATATCAAGTTTTTATAAGAAATCATGCACATAGTATATTCTGCATTTCAACAATTTGAGCCAAGACATAATCAAATTCAGTCAAAACACGACATAAATCAACCACATTAAATTTTGTATGGCTTACAAATCATGTCAAATCATCAATTCCTATCCTATACTCTTAACCTTCTTGTTGTTTTTATATCACACTTAAAATCCATATATAATAAAATATACAAAATAAAGCTTTGTTAGATTTCAAAACATCTGACTGTTTTATCAATATAAATCTTGTAAAACTTTATAATCTTTCTATACTTCTTAAGAAATACCATGTGACATTAGAAATTATTTAGAATAGATTATTGATTTTAAAAAATATCACTCACAACATCAATACTTTAGACATTATCTTAAAAATGCACCAAAATACTCTTGTATTCTATATTATTGGTTCTCTTTTTAATTCTCTTGTCTTAAATTTCTCTTTATTAGAGATGATTTATATGGATATAGATTGGAAAAAGAAAAAACTAATATATCAACGCATAGTTTTTTTAGTTCTTCTCTGGACAGGTTCAAAATATTTCAAACTCTGAGAGTTTGCGGTCAAAGGTTACGTTGATGTCAGGTGCTAGATATAATTCAAACTCATGTCTTTATCAAGTAAAAAGGTATGAGATCAAAGTTCCGTTCATGATAGATGTTCAAGCCTTTTTGTTTGAGCATCAATCATGAAGAATTGAAATAAATTTGCATTATATGCAATTTTGACATTTTAATTTTTTTCAATAATCAACCAAATTAGAAGCAAAATATGAGGAGTATCGAAACGTGTTTGAATAAAAAAATGTTGATATACTTCTTTAACATGTAACTTATGATTGTGAAGACAAACTCTAAGAACTTGTACAATCTTTCTTTGGTCCAAAACTCTTTCAAATGAGTTTGCTACATTGCAATAATCTTCTTGATTAAAATCTTATGAATAACTTGATTTGACATTCCAAATCACCTCATGAGTTTACTATTTGTCAAGAAGAAAGTCAGCTTTTTTCAGAGAAACCTAGACTAAAAATGTTCATATTCAAAAATCGTTATCTATTGACGCTTATTTCAAGATTTTTTGACCAACTCGATCAAACAAACATCCACACCAAGCTTGATCTTTGTGGAGAGTCAAGAAAGTCAATAAATGAAAGATAAAGTTTCGAACTAGGTATATATATATTGAACTTTTGGTCTAACCACACACCTACCATCTTCCAACACTTGATGAATGACGTCAACTAAAAATTTCTAGACAATGTTATAGTATGTTATCTTGTTGACTTTCCGAAGCCATTTTTTCTAGAAACAGATGTTTTTTACTTTGCTCTTGGAGTGGTACTTTCCCAACCCGACGAAGAAAAACATCTCCATCCTGTTCTATTTCAGTCATAAAAATTGTCACAACAAGGAGTTCTTAGCTATTTTTGACTTGATTCAAAAGTGATATCATTTTCTCACAAGAGCTATCAGATCACAGTATACACTGATCACAAGGATTTTGAATACTTCATGTTTGCCAAGGTACTAGATAGACAACGATTTTATTGAAGTATATCATTTTTGCACTTCAACTTTGTTGTCATGTATCCGGTACTTTGTTCTTATCCAACGAACATACCTTGCATCCAAGGAAGAGAATGGAACCCACGACCATTTTAATACTATCTTTATCAAGCTTGACCAACTTCAGCTAAAGATTGTGCATATCACAACTTTGATGGATGCATTTTTTCACCAAGATATCATAGTAAGTTCAAAATCTGATACTTTGTTCTTGAAATAGAAAAACAATGCTGGCATCTTCAATACTAGAGAATTTTCAAGTTAGGATTGAGAGATTATAGATTCAGAATCCTGAAATCAACCAGTTTATATATTTCAAGTTGTTTGATGTTGATATATAATATAAGATATAATGTTATACTACCAAATCGTCTACTTTTTTCAACTTTGAGTATGATGTCAATTCTTCAACTTTAGAGTATTCTAATTGCGTCCTAGCAGTATTCATTGAACATCTTTAGACATTATATCTCATTCTATTTAACGTCAGTTGTAACTATTATTCTCTTTTTGAGTAATATTATTTTCTGTTTTTTCGCTTGAAATGTTACTACTTCTAATTTTGGAGCTTCAAATGCTATCCAAATCTTGTGTGAATTTTTTTTGATAACACTTATAATAAATTGTAATCATGATTTAGAATAATTAGAAACTTATGTTTTTAATCAAAATTCACGTAAATTTTTTATCAAAACATATCATTGTTAGCTATTGATTTAGATTTAATTTCTTGGAATAAATCCTTTATTAAAAAAAATTTAAAATTAAAATATAATTATAGCATAAATTTTTTTCAAATCTTGTTTAAACACAAAAACAAACTATATACTTTTATTTTTAATGACTTCAAAACTATTTTAAAATTTTTGCAGATTTATTTCTTAGATCATTGAGTGTAAATGAATGTAGTTTACAGTTCTATCAATAACAATCACATGATCGTTTTTCAAAAATATAATAAATCACCATTATACAAATTCATGACATAAATTAATTCTCATAATTCTTGTAGTAAAGTGCATGTTAGAAGGAAAATTTTCTTCAACATAAAAATATTCAATTTTGATATTAAATTGTATAATCAACTTGAGAACATAGATTTTTTGTCGCATCCACATGTTATCAAGAGAAAATTATGTTATATCCCAATCAATTCAAAGACTATAATAAAAGTACTTATATACTGTAGATCCATCCATTAAAAAATGTAAAATGGCATGAAATTGATTAATTGCTGAAGAAGCTATTTGTCATGATATTGTGATTTCAACAATAACAATTTGATAATACAACTCGTGGCTACAATAAATATTTCTCTATTCTGTACAAATGCATACACAACCATTGTGTTTATCAGTCATTGATACAAATATTATCAGAATACTTTTACATACCGCTAGTATATTTCAATTTTCTCTAGAGGAGGTTTCAATTTTTTTTGGGGCTTTTGGGGGTGATAGTCCAACACTTCCTTTCAAGTATTGCAAGCAACCGGTTGACAACTTAATTGGTAAAATTTCTCACTAGCTTGTGTCTCAAATAAGTTCAATGTTAAATCAGATTAGAACGGATTATAAATTTTCACGTAGAAAATGAGAGTAGAAGAAGATTTAAGTATGTAGAACGGGGGTTGTGAATGAAGGGTTACAGAAACAAATTTACAGACAAACATGTCCACAATCCTCTAACAAAATTCATCATTTGACCCATCTAGTCTTTAGAGTCATTTTCATGAGACAAGTAATGGAGCCTCCATTCCCGCATTATCAAGTGACTCATTGAGATACTTGAGATAAGGAATTTAAGTTCTTGAGTCAATATGTTAATAGCGTCTGTTAGTGAAATAGGGAAGAGGTGAAGGATGAAATAAAATACGGGTGATAAAAAATCACGAACGTGATCCGTTATCGAACTTGAAAGGAACTGCCTCCGTTATATACTACTACTAATATTATACGATTATCATCCAGAAGTCGAGATGGTTTCTCAAAAATCACCTGTTTACATAATAATAGGGTTTGACCTTGCAGGCATCGAAAAATATTTAAATACTCCCCATAACATTCCAAGAGGACTTTGTATAGTTATGATTACGTTAAAACCAACGTAATCGCCTAATTGCTATGTTCATCATGTTCCAACTCAATACAGACAAACTAAATTCAGTGTTTCTTTGGCAAAAAAGACTTTTTCCCAGTAGAAATTTATTTAGAGGAAACACTTCGAGGTAAACACGTGTTTATCAGGAACTGGTCGAGTTTTATCCAGCAATCACAATTGACTTAGGAGGAGAACAGAGAGTCCGGACAAAATTATGGATAACTTCAAGAATACGAGCTTTTAGAGTTGCGAGAAAAACAACTGGACGCTGCTACATCGTTTTCCACTTGTTTGTCCAGTAAGCCCGTCGATATTCGAATCGACGGTGGAAGAGGTGTTTTGGGCCAATAAGAGCAATTATGAGGTTGCTGGATGAGCGCTGGCTAGAGGATGTCCAGCATGTATGGATGAGGTTCTGATCCCACCATTACGCCCATCACTCGAAATCCGCGTGTCTTTGTCAGAGATCGACACGTTGTGGGGCCGGAGGAGATTGGAGCGACGCGTGGCTTGCTGCAAGTGCCATGCGGATTATGCTGAGTCGACAAGTGGCACCAATTCTCTCCATGGCACTTCCAATTTTTCCTCGCTATTTCTTCGTCGATCTCTTCATTTGAGGCAGAGACTGCAATTCCTTCAACAGATTCTTCACTTGTGCCGAAGCTGTGCGACTCGAATTAGTCGGTGGCATTCTCGGTCGATTCACAGTCTCATCGGCGTCGTTGGTTCCCATCGGAACGAAGTAGCTGTTGAAGGTACGAATCGATGCGTTGGTCGGGTGATTGGCGCTGCTCTTCGATTTGCATTGCCGTTTTCTGAGGATTATCTTCAATAGCCATCGTATCGTTTTCAATGTCAATGTCTGTCGTAGCGGTTTTCCTTTTAACATCCCCGTTTTCCCTAATGGGTCCTTCGCAATGCGGTTCTGAGGGTGCACATGGGGAGGCACTCTGAGAATCCTTAGCGTCTCTGTGAGGGAAATCGTGAGGGAAAATTGCGGGGGAATAATTGATTGTAAGGGGAGGAATTTCATTTTCATCTTTTAAGGCGCCATTCTAGAGAGATCGTTGCATGAGTTTCGGTGGTCGTCGTTTTGGAAGTCACGTATGATGTCCGGAACAAGCGATCTCCCGTACGATGTCTTGAGTTGTAGGTTGAGTCTGCGGATTTCTGACTTGCGACGATGGTGAGTGGAGTGTGTTGTCCATCGCTAGTGGATACACTGGCTAATCCTCATAGATGTGCCACCTGGACAGGTTATTTATTCCAGACAAAATGCCGAAGGCCAGAATTAACGCTCAGTTGGATGCCCCACAAATCGATGTTCTGGTGGACCTCGGTCACCCTCTTCTCAACCGGGTGTTCGATGGCTTTGTAAAGGTCGGAGGGGTGAGTAAAACCTCTCATGTGTACCTCGCTTCCTTGTCGTTCCTTTCCTCGTACTCCGGGATCTTCATCTGCATGTGCTTTTCGTTATTCTTTCATGCAATCCATGAAAGTTCAATGATTCTACGGCTTAGTATCGTCTAGGTCATGCCTCTGCTCTGATACGATTAGCTGTGTCATTGCACCTTATCGAAGACATATTTGCCAATTTGCAGGTTGGAGCATTGCATGCAGCATCACAGGATACCTATCGCTTTTTGGCTCAAGGTGAAACCCTCATTCCTGATGCTAGAATTCGCTTTTGTTGTCGACCTAGATGTAGGCAGGTTACTGTGTAGGAGGCAAACCGCAGTCTTTATAACTAACAAGAAAAAAGTTCATGATCACTGCTGGAGACTCGAGTGGTGCACAATATTGCGCAGTTAGTTCCTAAGCCATGCTGCAATAATGTCGACGCGGAGAGAGCATTTGATATTTGTCAAATTTTGAAGATAGTAGACCGCCTTTATCGAGGCAGCTAGTTATGTTCCTCAAAAGCGAGGAATGTGGCCTATTAAAAAAGTTGGAGTTGTCTTTATTGTGTCTCAACATCTGGGCTTTGGCTTTTCCCGGGCTTTGACTTTGGCTCGGTTTGGGTTAAAAAAAATTTGTTCGGTTGTCATACGTACAACATGATGCGTGGAGCTTATACTTGTGTCTGGACAATTAATTGCAGAGGAGACGAACAAGAAGTCTCTAGAGAAGATGGTCCAGAGAATGGGCAAGGAGGCTGTGCAGTGGGGTTTAGTGGCAGGAGTATACTCAGGCATGTCGTATGGCATGCAGGAGGCCCGGGGTGTGCATGACTGGGTGAGTTTCTGGACGGAGCTTTCTTGCTTACTCTCAGTACCTTCGATGGTTTCTTGGGGCAATTTGAGGTATCATCATGACAGTGGACACTCACAACTACATTTTCTGAACTGTGCAGAAAAACGCTCTCCTCGGAGGAGCATTGACAGGAGCAGCTCTGTCCCTCACTGAGTCTAACCCAAGCCATGATCGTATTGTTCGTGGAGCAATCACTGGAGGAGCAATCGCCACCGCCGCAGAGTTTTTGCGCAACATCACATAGGCAAAATCGTGGGATGTTAACGGGAAGCATTCCTATGTATGATAGTGAAATGTCGATTTATATTCGTGAGTATTTGTAGCATTCAATTTTTGGGTGTCGGCTGATTATAAGAGAGAGGATGACATCAAGTGTACATGTTATTGTAGTCATTCCAAATTACTCTCTGTATTTTTCTAAGCGAAATCATCGTGAAAAGTCACGACCATGCTTTTTTTATAAAATCGCATCCATCTTGAGTGGTATAAATATTTGCGCGTACATTTTTTATACGACCGTTTTCCTACAGATGCCGTCTGTTATGGCCATAAAGTGAAGCAATTGATATATTTCTAGACTGTACTGTGATTGGAAGAAATAGTTGGATCTATACATATCTTGATGTACATTGAACTATCTCAGTGCAGCCGACAAATTTAAATTCCTCTATAATATAATGATCGAAAGCGTGAAAAATACTAAATGAATGTGAATCATGCAATTTAATACAGAAAGAATCTTCAGCAGTTGTAAAACCTACAAAACAATTATCCAAATAAGATTATTACCTCCACACTCGCAAAAACAAATATTTCTGCCATTAATCCACCATTCTTTACCTTGTCCAATTTTTCTCCATGTATATTGGAAAGGCGAAAAAAACTTTCTTATTCATATTCCGCAATATAAAAATTGACATAACCGATTTTTTACGAAATTTTTCTCAATTAGAAGAGGAAAAGAAACAATTGCCACAAACCAAAAAGAAAAATACCATTTTTTCAATATAATTACTATAACTTAAAAAAATCCCGTACACTAAGTGGAGAAAACTTACCGGAAAAAAATAATTTCTTTCTCTAAAAAATAAAGAAAAAAACCTAATCTGAAATCAATACTTAATATACATAAATAACACACTGTCAACTAATTCCACCAATGAAAATAGCAAAACAACTACCCCTAAGCCACTTTCACTAACAAATCCTGCTCAAGTAAAAAACAAAACAATCGTGACAGATTGGGTAGAACAAATACTAGAATTTCCCGTTGTACACTATCTGTCAGGGCAGAAGAATAGTTGTCCGATTCTTGGTTCGTGTACCAAGCTGCATCCATGCAAAGCCTTGTATCAAACTCGGTCGAAAACTGCCCATCACTCTCTACATCTGTATCGTAGTGAGAAAACCTCGTCACTGTGCCCTCCGACTCGAAGCAGCACTACCACAACACAAGTCCTGTCTGTGTCATTGACTGGTCGTCATTCAGTAGTAATAAATGTAAAAAACGAATGCAGTTTGGAAAGATCGCATCTACGCCCAGAATAATCTAGCGCAGCTCTCTTACAATTGCCCTCATGCGAATTTCGCTCGTAACAGCCTTTTAGTCCAACTTTAGAACAATATAGCCGCGCATGCCAGCAAGAATATGTCAACTCCATGACGCATTCGAGTGGAAGCACGAAGTCCCACTCTCGGTCTCAACTCACGGTCTCGAGGAACCTTATTCGTCCAATTGAACGTCTATTCGGCCTCACAGACTTAGTGCTGGTAAAGAAGTCACATATGCTTGTCGAGGTTCAAGGAAGGAGGTCTTCTGCTTTCACCTGGACTGTGGGTCTCGATGGCGTATACAAGCCGGGAATCAAAACTTTCATGAAGATAGCTCTGCATGGCAGCAGAATGTTCATTTCCTGTGGGAGTCCAATCCAGACGAGTAGATTGCATCCCTTTCCCTTTGCGACTTGCGTATGTGTCCTTACATACTCATAAAATTGCAAAATGAACGCAATACCTGTAGACCGAATGTGGGCACGGACTGATCAAAAGTATGACCTCTGTTCTTTTCTGGATCTCGATGAAGAACACGAACGGACGTGTATCTGTAGCGGACGTCCTTTCCTCAACATTAACGCTGCCCTAAGGCTCACTTTCCTAAAGGCGAAAAGATGTTGTTGGAATCGCTCTTCTTTTGACTTTGACGGCTTAAAATCCGAAGCCGCCATAATTCCCACCAACCAGCATGGGAAAACACCAATGACAATGACCTTATCCCCCAACGCCCCTTCCAAGTTCCGCCTCCCTGCTGCTCCATGCTTGCTGCCCTGCGAACGTCGAATGATCAGAAGGACCGAGCTGTTGCTTTCCAGAGACGGATCGAGACCCAGTCAAAGCCCCAGCTGGTACCGGAGTCTCGACGTGAACATGGGTTTTCGGGGCAATTAAGAAGTTGGCGCTGTCTGACGACGCGATGCGCCAGTGGACTTACTTCGCGTGATTAAGGACGGCTCTATCAGAGTGAGAGTTTGCTTCTTCCCGGAGCGAGGGCGCCCTTGCATTGCACTCAAGCCCTCGAGCATTTATCTTCTCGCTTGCTCGTTGAACGAAAAAAATTGCAAGCTTGGAAACATTGTTGCCAACAACAACTGCTGAAGTGGAGCGGTGAAGTGAAAAAGTATTGAATTAAAGAATGATTGTGTGAAAAGGCATTCTCACCGTGGAGGTTTATGTGCATGAGCATCATAGAAAGGACAATTCGCGGAACCATCATGTCGCGACTAGTGCATTGATAGCACCAGTGGTTCGATAGAGTGCGAGGACCGGCTTGCGTGCAACGAACCAGATTTTCATGTCACACATTACGCTACAACATGAGCGCTGGGCTACTGTAGTGTGCCCGGAACATGGATTGCTCATTCGAGGCAACTACCCTCCGCACTTTTATTATTAGAAGGCCATACATTCTCAAATGTGAGTTTCGCGTCACCCATCTGCACCTTTCTACTATTCGCACTTCTTCCTCCCGTGGTTCCTGCCAGCGCGCATAAAATGTAGGCCGTGAGTTTGACTACCTGGCCTACAATCATTGCTCTTGTTCTCCCAGAGATTGTACAGTCAAAATCGTTTGTCAAGGCGAGCATTTGTAAACTTCTTGCACGAGTATGGTTCTTAGTCGTGGTTATCCAGCGGTATGGGCAAGAGGTCCAAGAAACTATCGAACATGAGTCATTTTCTCGGACCCATTTTTGGAAACGAGGGGACCACACCATTTGCTACTAAGTGAAAATGATCGATACCAGTCTCCATTAATTTTGTTGTGCATGCTTTGCACATGTCTTCAGGTATACATACATGTGAACATTTTGTTTTACAGAACAACTCTTGTATGTTGTCTCCTATTAATGTCTGTTCTGGAGTATCAAGTTATGATTGTAGTTGTCATAGTTAACTATATTACATTTAATATGGTCAAGTAAATAGATCAAGTCCGTGAGACCCAAAGTGTCAAAAGGCTATTAAAACACAATATAAACAACCGAACTCCAAATCAGGAGAGAACCAAAAGAACCCCCTAGAATGGTGAAATGTGATCACGATTTCAAGTATCCATATAGATCACCTGTTTGTATTGTAGCATTGGAGTTATATGAGCTGTGAGTGATGTGTGATGGAGTGTGAAAGAATATATTACATTGAGTTACATGAGATATCAATCCTTCTAGTATATCGTATAGGTTATTTTGAACCCTGCGTTTCTATTGTCTACATTATATTACTGGCCAACACTACGTATGGTCTCTTAGATGAAGCCGATGTCATATGCACATGTTGTTTGTAGATCTCTTGACCTTGATATTTTAGGTACAATATAATTTGTATGACTTAGATCTCATCTTAAAATCATAGAGAACTAGCCTCCGATCTCACTTTGATTATATACCTTGTTGAGCTTGATAGGATCTTCCTATCATTCATATATATATATATCATGATAAGGTTTTTCTTACAACTAATTTTATATCACATCCTCCAATCATACTCCAAATTGGTTATTTATGCATTGGGCATTTATGGTTTATCTTCTATATTAGAAGATATAATACATAGCAAAGATGTCTGTTCTCTCCAAACTTTTATTCTATTGTACAAATTGCAAATGGTCGAGATGTAAAAGAAGCAGGATTTTGGGAAGAATTCATTCATGATACTAGAAATTTTGATTCAACATGTGGTTTTGTCCTAAATTCAGTTCACAAAGCTCCACATAATCACTATTTTTAAGCTTAAGGGTTTAGAAACCCTATACCATTACACATAGTTCATAAATTATTATTTTTTCTAAGTTCAAGAGTTTATCAGAGCTAAACATGCTGGAGAAGAGGGGTCATAATCTCTTTATTTACATGTGCAATTTAACTCTAGACATCGGGTCTACATAGAGCCTTTCGTGATGGAACCCATATAATATGAATCTTTAATACGTTAAATTCTTCATATCCTCTAATAAATAGTTCATGGTCTTTTGTATCTAAATACGTGCATTGTATACGATTTCCACTGCTTCTCTTCTGAACATAATCCGATGTAGCCATCTGCTGCCCATGGATTCATACACGGATGAAAGCAAGAGTCTTCCCCGTCCATTTGCTATCTTAGATTCCAGCTAACCTGTTGATGATAATGGCAGGCTTCGGAAAATGAACACCGCAGAAAATACACGTCGAAAGCATAAACAAAGCTTTCTCCTCTGTTCCAGTGCGAGTGCAATGGTAACCCATTAGCAAGGCATATTCTTTTCGCCGGCAGGCGGAACTAAATGCCACTCGGTCTGTGGACAGGTGAAACAGTGTGCAAGCTCTTGCGGGGACGCGAGCATTGGGTCCACAAATGATGGATGAGCCCATTGGAGAGCTTCGAACAATAAGTGCTCGAGAGATGTGATCAAGGGGACTGCGAGGAGGATTCATTTGGGCGTATGTTGCGACAAGCCGATCTCTGAACGATGCCTTTAAGGCATCGGTCGTGTTACGCAGCGCGGACTGGGAGTTGCAGCCGATCTTACATGCAATCAACTAGGCCCTAATCATGTATGATGATGGTAGGTGGAGACCTGAAACTCGCAACTCCACTACGAATCATAGCCCTCATGTGCCCGCACAATCCGATTCCGCTCTTGTCGTTGACCTCGTACAAGTTGCCTGTTCTGAACTTCTGCGCCTCCCCTAAGAAATGCAAAGTCGTATCCGGTGAGCGACACTGGTTGCGCCCTTATCTCATCGACGATAGCAACGTCTTTGCACATTCATTGTTCCCTGGAGTCAACTCTCGTTCTGCATCCTTGCACCGCCAAACTTAGCACCGCTCTCAGTTTCGACCTGCCCTTCTGCTTGGGACACGTCGCTTTCCACGCTTACTCTCTCACTCCCTCTGCATCCATCACATACACTGATATACTCTGAGCCATCTTCACGTAGGAACTCGTAGGCTGGAAAACGGTATCCTACTACTCGAGCTGACTATAATCTGTAGAGCATGCAAATATAAACTTATGGTTTTGAATGAATATATTTCCAACAGATAAAATTTCTTCGGTATGTTCTTCCAGCTTTACTGAAAAGGAGATTTCAAATAATTATTATCGATGTAAAAAAAGAAGAAGAACAGACCCACTGGATCTAGACCTTTACTTTTTATAATATATTTATCGCAATCGATTGAAGTGAACAGGGATGACGATCATAGTGCTCTACTAGGTTCCTGGTGTGATCATTGTGCTTAAGTTGATTTTACTGAATCCAGAAAGCCATCATTTTCAATTATACAACTTCCATATTTCATTTCATAGATAATTTTTTTATTCTGAGTTATATTTTATAACATGTTCTTCATGGCGTGAAATTACATCAAAACGGAAACGAGCAATTTATATAAAAACTATATCATAAAATAGTAAGAATTCTTGCACTTAAGAAATCTCTTCAAATTCTACGATTTCACATCTTTTGAAAACTTAAGATAAAAGCATTTTAATCAAGACGAAGTTGTGGTCAATTATACTATGTCTTGATGAAAATTTTCCCGCAGAGTCTAATACAATGCCTAAACAATAACTTACGTATCTGACTTCAAATTTTATTAACCCACTAACTTTTATCATTTTTAAATTACAGCCATGTTTATCACGTATTTAACTATGACGTTAGTCAGAAAATATAATTGCGAGTTTCTTGAAGAAACAACAGATGGTATTTTTGGATATTTTTTCAGACTCAAAAAGTGATAAAATTATGATCATTTTCTGAGCACAATTCAAACTGTGCCTCATGTTATGACGTTGGTTAAACGGGAAATTGATTAGGAGTAAATTATCTTAACTTCTGGAATCTGCAAATTTAGTCCGTACTTTTTGTCCTGACATTTGCGAATGTTTCAAATTTTCACGAGAAAACAGCAAACAAACACACCCAAACGCCTGTACAGAATTACATGAAAATTCCAATACAAATGTCGGGGTTCGCCACCACCAAGCTAAATCAACTGGAACAACAACAAAAATGCATCGTTCAAAAATGTTCAACAACATAGATTACACTCTTATACCCATAGATTTACCACCGAGTGATTATATTATCATACTCAAGCCATTACATATTCTCCGCGCTTAGTTTTGAAGTGAGCATAGATGAAACAAAACAATTGGAATGAAACTACTCTGGAATAACATGAGACAAAAATACATGTGTCATATTGCGCCTAAGATGTATGAACTATCTTGGTTTAACAGTTCACATATTGCATAAACATTCATAGAGATTTCATCAATCCAATATCCATGGACGGCATTGTTGGACTATCTCTTTAGAATAGTGGTTGCATGTTTTTGAAAATATAATACATATAACAAACAAGATTATTATAATATTATCATCTACTGGTAATATTATGAGTTTTTGTACATTTTCTCACAAATAAGTCAAATATGAGATTATAAAATAAATAAATATTTCTTTGTAAATATTATATAATTATTTTTAGATAATATTTTCATAAATATAATTTTATTAAAGAAAAAATTATAATAAATACTTCATCTTATTTTATTTTACTTACGAGATATCGATCTAAAAATTGTTAAATGTTTAGATAATATATATAATTTATTCAACTGCAACATTAACAAGTTAACACTCTACCACCAAAGTATAAATATGAACTAACAATTTTACATTACAATGCATATTAAGGGCTACTCCCAACAATGGGCGATACAAAGCGATACAAAGCGAAGGTCAAAACTGTCTTGAATGTGAGCAGGATGCTGTACCACGACAGTAAAAATGTAATGAATCCGTTAGCGTCTAGCATGACCATTGCCGGTGTCTGGGCAAGTTTGAAGGCTTTGTCCTGTTTTGACCATTTTGGCGGAGCCGCAAGTGTTCCATAGAGTCCATGTTGCTGGGCCACATGGACTCTATGGAAAAGTGAATGGAAATCGGCTGCATGTTTGTGAGCTCAGAAGGGTTTTAGCTCATGTCTGGTAAATGTGTGATACTTCTTGTCACCAGCTGCAGAAAAGTCCGAAGGGCAAGAGGCGTAGTTTTGCCATCCAGTGACAGTTGTGGATGAAAGCCACCGTGGAGCCAGCTGGTGCTGGCTCTACAGCACTGGGTCAGTATACGCGAGTCATGAATATGATGAGGTCATAAGAGATGGGGAACCTGGAAGGGTAAGGCTTTCGGATATATTCCGAAGACAACTTAATTACGTAGAGTTTCCGTTTCGGATGTGGCTTTCATGACAAATCAGGGCCAGAGAAAAGCGCTCCCTCGAGATTGGATTTATACAATGATCCAATGTTGCATGCCATGACAAAAGGTTCGAGTTGACGGGGAGAGACCAAAGTGCAGAATTTGAGCACCAAAGCTTTGACTTGCAGGTATTTCTGCATCAAAAGAAGAAAATATGCCACTACAGCAATTGGACATGAGGGCCAGAAGGCGTTCTCTGCGGTGGACCCAGCGCATTATCCACATCTCGGCGACGACATTGCAAGTTGTTAAAACATAAAAAAACGAGCAACAGCACAATCTCGAGATACCATTTGTTGTGCATGCATAGACAGCGACATGGACGTAAGAGATATCAAGGCTTTGACGGAAAATTGCGGCGGATTGTGTTCTTTGAGGTTTTCCTTTTTGTACGCCATGAGCAAGAGGACGAATGGAAGGGATTGATCAGCTCATGGCTACTGATTGTTGACTACCAGAGCCGGATCCGCCCACTTTTGTCACGATCATAGTCTTGAACAGTTCCTTGAGCCTACGTTGAGACATGGGACCGCCGCACTTGCAGTAGTCTTCTCCATCCAAAAAGAAGGTCCTTGTTCCTTCTTCCGCTTCTTCTGCCTGTAGGACAGATTTACGGCACTCTTCTCGTGGTCCATCATGCACGAAATGTACTTGCTCGAAGGGTTAGCTTGTTTACAACACGCAGCAAGTGGGTTTCGCAAGCTCCAAACGATTGAACATTTCGGTCGATTTTGGGCAAGATATTTTTTGGCTCTGTATGCGGGGTAACGTTTCACGATTTCAGCGCTACCCGTGCTGGTCGGTTTTTTGTAGCGTCCAAATACATTCAACCACAATTAATACAAATTTTCTTTTTCTTTTTCTGGCAGCACAATATAGCAAAAATGATGGGTAGATCCCAAATAGTAGGAAAAAGATATCGGGGCTAGGCCCTAGTAGTATCGAAATCAGAGATATATCATATTATGTCTAAGACATATGAGATGATTTACAAATAACATCGGAGGAAACTTCAACCTAAGTAAGATAGATGAATGATCGAAGTCAAACGATTTATAAAAAAATCAATTATCGAGATCAACTTAGTGATATATGCATAGCATTAAGTTGCGGGCTTCGAGATAACATGCTTAAAAAAGACACAATAAGTATGTCAGCCTGTAACGCAGCGATCATCCATACTACTGAGTTTGCAGTTGGACTCAAATTCAGCTTGCTTGGTCGGAATGGACCACTCTCTTGGACCACTCTCAGACGGGTCTATGACTCTACGGTGGTTTGCATGGCTGTGATCTGAGAACCATGCAAGCCAATCCCGAACCACATACGATAGACATGCAGTTCAAGGATTTATCTCCAAAACGTGAAAGCAAAAGGTGGTCTATTGATATACGCGGAATTCGGCACAAGATCTACGGAAACACTTGAAAGCCTAAGAGATTCTAAGATCCTACAACCTCAACATTTGAAATATACACAACCTACAAGAATATCGACATCATAAGCACCTCGGCTTTCAAACATGTTCACACAAAGCCTCGGAGCTGAATCCAAAGGAGGCCAAAAAACTAGGGTAATGACATGAAAAAGAAAAAAACTCCATGCTTGTGGGACCATCAAACCTAGTGTAGTTCATAACTTGGGACTCAACCTTTTCCACTTTCGTCCAAAGAATCATCGCCCATCCTTTAATGCAATCCCAGCAGGGTGCACGGACTCTCTATGAGTCCCAGTGGCGGCGATCCAGAAAACGTTTCCAGTGTGGGAGCAGAAAGAGAAAAAGATTTCAATGGCCTTGACTCAGAGAGCGCAGAGTGTTGCTGCTCTTGCGAAGAGAGAAATCTGCAGACCCGAACCTCGAGCACCGGAAACGAGCTTATGGAGGACCGAGTCAGCAAAGTATCTGGAGGTCCACAGATATATGCATTTGTAATTGCGGAGCTACACGTGGACAAAACGGCATTTATTAAGCTTAGCTGTTAGCAGACATGGCATTCCATAGTCCTTGCTGTCTTTCAGTTATTTCGTCCCTTCCATCACATCAGTGAGTACCGGATTACCGTGAGTTACCGGATTGCTTCCGACTACTACTGCACTTCACACAAGTCTCTCTCGCCGGTAATCGCCGTCCGCAGTAGTTTCACGTCGACGTCCGTCCATTTGTGAGGCCACGAATACCCCTCCCACGTCAGATGCCGTCATCTGACGGCCTCTTTTCACTGTACCGATTTGACGCGGTTTCCATCCATCACTGCGTTCCTCTTGCCCCAACCACAGTCGAAGGTCCGAACTCCCCTCCCCTCACCCCACTTGCGGTAGCTAGAATATTCCAGAAAATCCGTCAAAGCCGGACCGCCAAGCGTTTGCATTCGACGTCCGGCAGAATTATGCACAATGTGCACTAACTCGGGCGTCGTGGTGGTAGCTGGAAGGAGAAATCGAGGGAGAGAGATGTAAATGGAAAGGGGGGAGGAGGGGGGCTAAGACAGGAGAATGGATGGAGAGCATGGGGGTTTTAATCGCGTCAGGGCTTCGAAAGTGGCAAGGCCGGAAAGCGCCGATAGAGTCGAGGATGACGGTACGTAGTGAGAGGGAGGGAACGAGGGAGGGAGAAAAGTGCAGTCAGTGCGGAATAATGAACAGAGTAGAGTGATTCAGGCTTTCAGAGATGGAGATTAATGGGAGGGGCGTATGGAAAAGGCTCGAACATGTGACGACACAACGATGGCGCACTGCACTGCACAGGGGGGCGAACGATCATTCGTTCGGATCATTTGCGCGGCGAGTACAACAGCCCCCCAGTAAATGCCGCTCTTCATGCCGGATCGGGTAAAATACAGATAAAGCAGCGACTCGCGCAGGGCTTCGCGTTATGCATAACGGTCATGTCGAGAACGCCGGCCATGCCGAGAATCAATGGGGCCCCCTCGAGATTTATGACTCCGACAAAGAAAAGGGCGCCGGGGCCATGGAGGTTCAAAACCTCGCGAGCCCCCGGTCGTCGTGGAGGAAATCCGAAGATCGCTTGGGCAAGAGGAGGAAGAAGACACAGGCGCAGAAGCAGCTGCAGTTATTGAAGCGGCGGTGTGGGTGGAAGGACTGCCTGGAAGCTTAGTGTGAACATGGGTTAAGTAGCTGGCGGTGTTGGGTGAGAGAGTATGCAGAGCCGAGGAGCGCTGAAGATGTCAGTCCCCCTCTCAATTGCGCTGGTGGATTCGAGGGGAGGAGTGTGGGGCAGCAGCTGGCGAGCTCAGCGTTGAGTCCTGGCACTCTGCTCGGCACCGCGAGCTTGACTCGGGTTCACTCTCGAGAGCCCCTCCGGGGTTGCCCAGGTACGGGGACGGGACGGGACCCGGGCGGGGGGTTAGCGGGAGGGAGGACGACAAAGATGGAGCAAGAAGAAAGAAGAAGAAAGTCAAGCGGGAAGGAAGGAGCCGGAGGGTCCCACAAGTGGACGGCCTCCCTCCCTCCCTCCCTCCCTCAAGCGCAACCGAACCGAACCGAGGGAGAAAGAGCGTGACGCGAGGAGCTAAGCACATTAATAAATTACGTTGTCCAAAGGGGGCAGCGGCAGAATAAGGGAAGGGCGGGGCGGGGGTCAATGCACGCGCGAGCCAGACAAACGGTGAAACCTGAACCGGGTCGAGGGAGAGATTTCAGCCGACAAGTTGAGCCTAGCCACGGCGATGGTGGCTGTGACTTCGTTCGAATTGGCCAGCCCCCCTGCCCCAGCCCCAGCCCCTCCCCCCTTCCCCTTCCCCCTTGCAATTTGGAACCCCGAGGCCTCGAATGATCAATCAATCTGCTCTCCAGCTTCTTCTTGATAATAAGCCCTGGAAGACGGGGGCTGTTATAAAGATCCGCCGGCCGTGCCTGCCTGCCCGCAACAAGCCAGTGCTAGAAGCAGAGCGCGAGAGGAGGACCCTGGCCGTGGGGAGGAGGGGTACGGGTGTACTGCAGCGTATCAGCAGCAGCAGCAGCAGCCCCCAGTGAAGCGAGTTCATATCTCCTCCGTGGTAGCTGGACGTGGCAGCAGCCCCGAGCGAGCCCCCGAGCAGAGCAGAGCCGAGCACACCGCGGCCCCCGTCTAGAGGCCAGGCAGCAGCAGCAAAAAGGCAGCGAGTAATCGATTCTCGCGATTGTTGGTGCTTGGAGCTTTGCTGCTTCTGGTCTCGAGAGAGGAAGCAGTCGGACGAAGAGAGACTGAGAGAGATAGATAGAGAGAGAGGGGAGCTCCGAGGAAGCACGTCGTGTTTGTCTGGAGGGAGCGAAAATGGGCTCCGAGGGACCAGCTCCTGCTGTCACGGACTTGAAGTTGGAGATGGTGGGGGAGCCCGAGACGATCGTGCCCGCCTCGGCGACCGACACTTCGCCGGTGTTTCTGTCGAACATTGATCAGGTGGTGGTCATTCCGGTCGAGACGGTGTATTTCTACCCTGCCAATCCCGAGAAAGGGCTCGACAAGCTGGTGGACACTCTGAGAGATGCCCTGGCCAAGGTTCTGGTGCCCTACCACTTCATGGCCGGTCGTCTGCAGATGAACACGGAGGAAATGCGACTGCAAATCGACTGCAACAGGGCCGGAGCGCAATTTACCCACTACACGAGCGGTGTCGCCATCGCGGACCTCGGTGATGTCACCCTGCCGAATCCTGCATTCCGTGGCTTGGTGCCCACCAAGTTCAACGCCACCGTCGTCTTCGAACTCCCCTTGCTCGCCATTCAGGTCAGCTCCCTCCCCTCCTTTCCCTGCCAGCCCCCGAAATCTATAGGTTCGTGCGATCAGGAATTTCTTCTTCCGTGTTCCCAATGTCGTGGCGTGGAGCCCAGGTAGCTCACTTTCTCGAGCAGGGCCTCCGGCGTCCACATCTCAGGGCCCCCCTTTCTCTCGTTCAAATCTATCCGAGCTCTGGAATCCTGCATTTCAGCCTGTGCATGCGGCATGGAGCCGAGCCCATGCTCCTGCACCGAGAGTATTCCGCTCTGTTTGGTTTGCTTGGATGTCTGCGAGTTCACGCCCACGGTGACTATGCAGCCAGCTGACATCTCGGGTGACGATTGCTAGTCGGGCCCGTGAAACTCACGAATGCGGTGCTGTACCAGCAATCTCTTGCTGGAAATTTGTAGGCCGAGAGGCGGGTGCTGATTCTGGCCCGACGGCGATCGCAGACGAGAGTCGGAGGTCTGGTGCGGTGGTGTCTTGACGTCTGTGGCGCATTGTGTGTGTGATTGGGTGCAGGTGACGACGTTCAAATGCGGGGGATATACAGTGGGCGTGATGATGAACCACACGCTGTTCGACGGGCCCGGAGCCATCGGGTTCTTCATGAATTACACGGCGCTGGCGAGGGGCGAGGAGTTGCTGTACGAGCCGGACTTCGACAGGACGCCTCTCAAGGCCCGGGACCCGCCGACCCCGACGCACGAGCACTTCGAGTTCTTCAAGCTGAGCGATCTGACGGGAACGGACAATCCATTCACGACGCCGGGCTCGGCCGAGGCCGAGTACGTCGCGATGCAGAACTCCATGGACCACGTGACGAGAGTGATCCCGTTCACGCCCGAGATGATCGAGATTCTGAAGAAGCGGGCGCTGGAGGGCGACACCATCAAGAGGGTGTCGACATTCGAGGCCGTGGCGGCGCACCTGTGGCTGGCCCGGACCAAGTCCGTGGACTTGATGCCCGACATGCCCACGAATCTGCTGTTCGCCGTGGACATTCGCCGCAGGATGAAGCCCCCGCTCAGCAAGCATTTCGCCGGAAACGGAGTGTTCTCGTCGTGCGCCCGAGCCACTCCCGAGGAGATCGAGAAGATGAGCTTCGTGGAGGCGGTGCAGCACATCCAGAAGGCAATTGAGCGAGTCACGGACGACTACGTCCGCTCGTCCATCGACTGGGGCCAGATCAACAGAGGAGTCCCTGCGCTCTTCGGCGGATTCTTCCTCTCCGCCTGGTGGAAAATGCCCTTCTACGAAATTGACTATGGCTGGGGGAAGCCCATCTACGCAGGCCCCATCGTCACCCCCCTCATCGAATTCGTCCTACTCCTCTCGAACGGAACTCAGGATGGCGGCCTCAACCTCGTCATTGCCTTGGAACCCGAGCAGATGGCCAGATTCGAAGAAAATGTCAAAATCACCGCCTAGAAATTTGTCATGAAGACGGTTCCATTCTTCTCCAGCAGAGTCATACCGACGGAACGAGAAATCCAAGGAAAACTGCCTTTCTTACGTCCGGTGTTGAACTTGCACAGCCCCCGTTTGGATCTGAACCCTCGTGTCATGGTCAGTATCCAGGCCCGGACTCAGAGCAGATGAAGAAGTAAGTGTAGTAACAGTTGTAGGTTTGTAGCTCATTCAAGTCTATCCGCGATCGTGGGGCTAGTGCTGTTGGCTCTCCTGTGTCATCCTGAAACGAATGACTGATTGGCGTAGTATTCCAGAATATCGAGGCTTTCTACCTATGGCAGATTTGTTAGTGATTATTGGAAACATTGTATAGAGATGTATAAACCTCTTTAATGGAAAGTCGTCCCCAAAACTGCTAGCCACGGGGGGTGATTAGTTCTTGGCCATCTGACGAGTCCTTGCCTTTCCCATCTTTCTGGTCACCGCGTTTCCAATTATTGATGAGAACGTGGGTGTGCCTCGGTGTTCTCAAGCTCCTGACATACAATCATGTTTCCCAGCTCGCGGCCCTACGGTTACTTCTGTCATTCCACTCGATCCTAGGAAGAGGAAACGGCTTATGCCTGTCAATCGTAGTCGTAATTTACTCAAGTTATGGCCTTTCATTAAACCAGTGCGATCGATCGTTCCACTACTGTAAAATACTGGTGATTGCGCTCATGGCAGACTATGACAATACGAATGTGGACGTCATCACTTCTCACTAGCCTCATCGACTGTGCAAATCTATGATGAAAGGTGGTTGTCCCCACCTACGTGATAAAGTCCTACAGGCTAATTGTTAACCACATTACTAGCGAATTTCAGGGACAGAGCGAAGGAAGATGATAGTGTACACGTTGAGTGGAGCGCAGCGAACAGTTCGTCTTTTGTTGACCATTCTCACTCTTGGTATTCTGGAACAAAGGATCATGAGTGCACTCTGGGAAAAAAATGACTAACTTCGTGGTTCTAATCCCCTACATTTATAATCATTTCAGATAGTCATTATCAAGGAACTTTTAAGTGGTGATTGCTGGGACGATGCTTTCTGGGAATCGCACCGAATCCTCCAGCTCAGCCTACAAGCCTCAACCGCCCCCTAAGAAGAGTCTAATATGCTGATGCTCAGACGAAAAGCACACTGGTGTCGAAACTGTCACTCATCCAGACTAAGATCCGCAAACCTGCTTCCAGTCAAAAGCAACCACCCTAATATTGTAGTTCTTTGGTCAAAGCCTACTCACCGCAGGGGGTAAATGCAGAGATAAAAAAATCCCACACGACAACAAGACAGATGCCCCAGTCATATTCTCTAAGACTCTCACCCGGTTCGACCGCCTGTAACATATTTCAGTCTCGCAGATAACCGCAGGTATTTGCTTTGCTTCAGAATGTTTTCTCAAGAAGGTAACTATCTCCAGTTTGGATCTCTCGTACGGATGTGTTAATTTTCGGTGCACTGTATGCACGTAAAGCTGGTGGATGTTGGGACGTGTCTGCTGAATGATTGTCACCGGTGAACAGAAGTGAAGTACTTTGATTTGTACTGCGATGACATGCAATCTTCACTGACGAGGTTTAGAGCATGCAAAAGTTCTGTCTAGACTCCTCTAGCCTCAGGGATGTGCAAAGCGTGCAGCGTGCTGCACGCGTAGCACATACTCTACTGGCAAAACTTCACTGGCATTGTTAAACCAGGATAGCTGCCTACAGATACACGAGAGTCAAGAGATGAGTCTACGAGAGATCTCAGGTAGGCCCCGAAGGAAAAGCCTCCACAAATGAGATGTAACCAAAGTAAGGTATCCAGTGAGTGAGGATATGTTGACGGTCCAAGACGAATAATCGAGCTGAGGAGAAATATGAGGAGCGTAAACTGCGTAGTATACCAACAGTCCTCGAAGCGTAAGGGTGAAAGCAAACTCAATCACAATGTAAGACCAGAAATGACTTGAAGAAACAAGAAATAACAATGACGAAGTTGCATCTCATGAAGAGCCCACTAACAGCTGAAGAGTCGTAACAGAAATTGAGATGGCAGACTGCCTGGCGAACTAGACATTCGCATCCCTCAGTTTATAGCAGTGAACTGGGGAGAACTGCTAATGGAGGCAACATCTATGATAGAATCCCATCCTTGTGCACAACCCAGTTTGTTGAAACATACATGTCCGTGCATTAGATAAGTAACAGTCCAGACCATTATGGAGGCCAGAACACACATATATTCCACAAAGTTTACACGCTTTATGACTGATCTACACGAGATCTGATCGGTGAAATTACTAAATGCTTAGGACTCGTGCCTAAAAAACTTCATGCTGAATCCTGGAATTCTTTTATGGAAGCGAGATGCTGCAACCACTTTCCAAGTACCAAAATGCTGGCTGCCATCTAGCGCAGGTGCAATAGTTTCTCGTCAAGTCTAAGGCAGACAAAACGGTCAACATCTCGTGAACGCTCCTCACATTTGTGACTGTTCCTAGTGCCTCAGAGATCTCACACATCGGTGGTAATCACCGTAATCACTCCTGGACGTACAAGGAACTCCTCTCTGCACTGATCTAGCGGCCCTTACAGCTAATCAGACCTTAACAATGCTTAAATCATTCACCAGAACATGACAGCTCTTTTTAGCCTTCCCGACCCTTTAATTCCATATCAAAGGGTATTCCTCTATACTATACTGCAGACTCTCAACAAGTTTACTCATGTTAGCTAAATATGCGTCATTTTGCTGAGATGTCATTAGCGATGACAACAGAGAATTCTAATCAATCGTCAGTATGATTATGCAAAAGTGTGAATCGCCCTATTTTGCATCTGAAACTGAGAAGCTTAGCATAAACAAGTAAATCATTCCATTTTTATGATTTCATTCAGCTCCACGTTCCGCACGGCCCCTCCAGATAAAAAGTACTGTCCAACTGCCCATCGAGACTATTGAATACGCCTCCAGGTTACAATCTACCATACATTAGTGAAGCAACTGATCAGTGAGAAGATCTGGTCTACAAACAGTATACTTCACTACACTTACTTAGCTTGAATGCTTCCTCTTGAACTATCTTGAGAACAGCAGGGCAAAAAACAAAAAGGTTAATCCATTGAGAATCAATTCATATTGGAAACAGAAGACCAGTATTTCGATTTCACTTTATTTCACAGTGAGGCTGCGAGCAGCAGCAGTCCCGAAGTCAACCTGGCAGTTGTAGAACAAAACACCGCTTGTGGTTCAATCCGGTCAATGAAAGATCAACTCAATAGAAAGACTCTTAGACTTTCTACTTAGAGAACGGACTAGGCACTATCGTTCTGCAACAGAAAATGAGTCTGTTTTCTCACATGAATACTTCTCGACAGACCTATTGGCAGATGGTACGGAGCAAAATATTTGCTCAAGACTGGAGAGAGGACCACACACGCTAGGTATGAAAATATCTCATTGTATATCGGATGCATAACCCTCCTCTCTCATACATCTAAGTGACAACCTGAAATATGTTTACATATCGTTGTGAATTGAACTAAATCGTGTGACAAGTCCTACCACCACCACTGTAGATCATAAATTGGGGGAAGTATATAGTGTACACTAAATTTCCACATTTTGAATCTCAGCGTTGTGCAGGATGCTGACATCGCACACACTCCCAGCTCTTGTGGTAAATAATGGGGATCCCGACCGGCACTGTAGTTCTGGAATGGTGGCCAAAGTAATTGGATCAAAGAAAGAACGGGGATTATGATATCCACAACTCCGTAAAGAATGTACTACTAGTTCCTCAAGTATGTAAATATGCTTGTCGCGCAGCATAGGAGGAGACTCGAGCGGACTAATATTGATGCTGTTCCGGAGGGCTCGTTCCAGAACTAGGATGATCAGTATTAAGACTGAGATATTCACCTTCATACATCTCCACCTTTAACAACCAGAGTGTATGCTCTGGGAGGACCAGAATATCTCCTGAATAGCGCAACTCCGAGCAGTGCCACGAAGGCAACAACAGTCGTGGTCCAGAAGAAACCCATGCCTGATTGGCCTAAATCGCTGGAGCTTCCCCGCAACTGCAAAACAATCAAGTAGCCACAAGATTAACGAAAAGAAATGAATATTGTTCCATCGACCCTTGAGAGAGAAGCTCTGAGGCAGATCTCGCAGATCGGGAATCTATTAGAGCTTACGTCCTGTGAACACCAAATGCGCGCCTTGACAGACATGACGTTGAGCAAAGAGAATCTTCGGGAGAAATACAAAAAGATCTAACATTTAGAAGAAAGGAACAATGTACCTCCTTGAGTTTGGCGATTTCCGCAGCCAAATCAGCTTCTGGGTTGTCACCTACGTAAAATCCCTCTTTCGTTGCCACCCGTACAAGGGCTTTGCATTCAGGATTCATACCCTTAAAGTTCTGAGATAATGTAAGGCACTGGCCATATGTTCCAATCACCACATTTTCGATCGCTTTCGCCTCTTTCGTGTCACACGAGGACTTGACCACAGAGTCGCAAGGAAGAGTGAGATTGGATCCAAACTGGTACTGCCATAGAGCCATCCTCACGGCGTACGCTACCTGAAAACAAACAAGAAATCGTAAACCCTCAATGTACACACTTATTTTCCTAATATTTGAATTCCTGAGAGTAATTGGAGGTATACAGCTCAGCTTTGAACTAACTCGTACCACATCCTAGCTAGACGCAACATTTACTCGATACTGAAAGGTGAACGTTGGGTTCTACAACGATCCCAAAGGAGGTTCGTGCCAGTACGAAAGAAACAATTGATTCGCCTCTATTCCCAACAATATAAAGATTTCGACTGGTATCATGCTTCTCCTCATAATCTCAAGTGGGCAACGTAAAATCTACATGGGAAGTTTTGTGTGTACATGAAAGAAGCTAACTAAGGCATAGGCAAAACTAATCCTCAAGGTAAAAAACAAGCTTTGACATGAAGTGGCATACCTCGGTTTGGCAGCCGCCTGTGAGATTCTTGTACTGAGCTACGAAACACTTCAAGACGGTCGCATGACCTTCCTCACTCTTGTCGACGTCACCGCATAATGTCTCAACATCTTTCTGGCACTCAGTCCTCACCCGGACATCCAACCGGTAGTCTGATGCTTGTCGGGCTTCTTGCAAGTCCACTTCAATCTTACAAGGGGTACCCATTTCTACCTTTTCCAAGTGCATTTGTAGGCACTTGAAAGCGTCACCGTTGGTCGGACTGACTGCCTTGCAGAACTCACCCAACTCTGTGACAAAAAGAAGTTTACAATACCAAAGTCAATAATTGTCAAAATGACACAACATGAGAGCTTCCTCGTCTTTCCTGGTTCTATAACCGCATTAATTATGTGGTTCAGTATATATGTTTCAATAGAAGAAAAAAAAACTATAGATTAACAGGTGGCGCGAGATATCCCAATGTCTGTAGATGGCCAAGAATATAGGAACAAAAAATGATATTTGACTTACCCGCACCACAAGCATTCATTAGAGACGGCGTAAGCCTGATATCTGAAGCCTGTGGAAGAAGATCAAGAGGAGCAAACTGTCATATTCTGAACCTTTTGTATCTGGATACGAGATTGTGCCTTCAATCCACGCCATACCATACAACATGTGAAGAAACAGAAAACACGAGCATCACCCTTCGTCTAAGTGTCAAAGTGAAGATTGATTTTCTAAGCGCAATATCAGAAGTCGAGCTGAGAAGATTTCATCTTCCAGAATGGTACCTCCATCATACTGAATCGGAGCTCCTCGTCTTTGCATTCACTTTTCAGCTGGTTGCGATGAGAACGTAAACAACGGAGGGATTGACTATGATCTTTCGTACGGACTTTTGGACAATACTTTTTCAAATCTTCATGGCAAGCCGTCTGAAGTGGTATGTTCAATTCAGGATTCTTAGCCTCCTTTAAAGTAAACGAGAAGATATCCTTCTTACAGGCTTCCGATTTGATTTTTTCCATATTAGTCTGTAAACACTTCATGACGATTCCACCGCATGGTTCAGACGTCCCACATACCGTGGAAATTGGACAGAGAGTTCTTACATCCTCCAGACAATCATTGTATATACGGTAGTTCAATCGATAATCTGAACAACCCAGCGAGATCGTGTCAAAAACTTTTGGACACACGAGCTCCAAGAAATCATCATGATAAGAAATCTGCATGTGAATCGTTCCTGACCCAAAAGGAGTATATGGTTTCAAAAGTGTACCCTTTGCAGACTCGATTTCATCCAGGACAACCTCTTTCTTGCAATCCTCCCCCATATCTGGGTCATCTACCTTTTGCTGAAGACAATCGATTATGGCTCCCTGGTCTGCGAGGTGTAACAAGTCCATGAGAAATCACACTCCAGCTACAAGCAAACGTCCGAATTTGAAGACAAGTAAAAAAGTGGTTCTCTGTTTCACAGTAGGCATCACTTCGCCGACGGCATAAAATCCATCTCATTTGCAACCTAAAGGGGTAACAACAGACAGCGATATGCGTAGTCAGACCCAAGCACAGACTCCATAGTTTTAACGAACACTTCAAGACTGAAATTGTTTCAAAAATTTGCCTACCGTGTCTAAGGCCCTTACAGAACTTTCCAATCTCCATGCCGCAAGAAGCCTTCATTGCCACTTTATAATCGATATCTCCTGAGAGTCGTGATTCCTGCAATTTCAGGTACATCAGCTATAATAATAATATCGGTAATACATTCATAGAGTGGCTACATACTGACGATTCAGCTTGCATTTCACTTCTAAACTGTCAAGCTCTACTGTCCAAGTTCGGCTGGTCAACACAAGCAACAACTTTTGCGCCAGCTAGCGATAGTGATATGTAGAACCTCCAAAATGACGTACCAGTTCAAACACAGCTGAGCGACAGGTGGTATCGATCATGTCACGTGCACCTTGCAGGCATTGCAGGACTCTGCTGTTATCAGCATCCTTGCAGTACTTTTGCTTGGAATCTGTAGAGATCCAGTGGACACAAGAGTTTGTCATCAGCAGCGGAGTAGACATCACACATCCCAAAATGCAAACAACACAGTAGTTATTTTCAGCTTACGACAATCCCTTTTTACCTGAATTTTGATCTAGTTTCGAACCATCTACACCTGAGTGTTTGCTATTTCTCTTATAATTACTCTTAATGGCTAAAGCCTAGAAGCTAGTGTCTCAAGGCTACCTTCGCAGGATTTGGCGAAAAATGCATCAAAACGATAGTCTTCAGCTGCACGAACAAGGGCTCTGTGGACCTCTTTCTTGCACTGTGGATCAGTGAGTTCCTCTTGAAAGTCCTGCAAACAGTGGATCACTCTTGGTTCCTCACGGGGGACTTCCAACAGATCTTCCAGCTCTGAACCACATACCTGCATACATGAAATTCATAAAAACCCTTGAAGTTTACCATACTACGTCGCACGATTTCCCGGATGTAACTACTATGGTCAAAGATAGAAGGCAATTAAAACACACGTATGAAATTGTGATAATCTCATGTCAGATTGTGGTTCATGAAATGAATTTATTGAAAAGCATTCAAGAAGCAAAAATAGGTTCTCACCGCTGAGATATCTTTCCGACAGCTATCCCTCAGTACTGGGTCTAAGCGGAAATCTTCAGCTCTCCTCGCGAGCATCTTGTCAAATTCAACCTTACTGCAACCCAACGCATCAGCTTAAATTTTCACTCGAAGGAATCACTATGCTACGAAGTTTATTCATTTTTAATGGACTGGGCTTGCCCTTCTCCTAGACGACTACTCGGAGCTGAAACTTCTTCCAGATACTCGATTGTTTCACAATTGATCATGTACCCTGCAATTTACTCATGAACTACGGTGAATGAAGTCAACCGCTAGAAATGGTGCAATCTAAATATTAGAGAGGACATTAAGACGAACCGCACCATGTCTTGGAAAAGCCCGGGTCCATGCGGAAGTTCTCGAGACAGTCCTTGATCCGAGCGTTCCCAGGACGAACGTCAGCACAGAATTTTTTTTTGTCATCCTCACATGCTGGAAGAAACCACGACGATATTAGTAATCACAACACTGCACAATACGATGTTTCCGAGTTCTTTTTTAAGTTCTTTGGTTAGCCTTATTATGGTGTGGTGAGGGCAGAAACACATTTAAACACCCGCATACCTTTATAGAGCTGAACATTGAGACGAAGATCACCGGCATTCTCTTGCTCCTGTCGGAAGAGTTCAGCTCTGCAAGCATAGGTGACTTTCGAAGCACGAGCCCTCTGTAGGGAAAGAAACGAAAAGATTTAGCTCAAGTCAAGGCAGAGTCTTCTGACTCGAGGACCGAGTAGTACCCGTGCAACATCCTCATCGACAGTAAATCTGCATTTTTACTCTAAAGGACTATGAAGAACGTTGTGTCCAACGGAATGGGGTGGTGAGCTCAGCAAATCAGATTACCTCTTGACACACTCAAATCTAGCACCTTCTCTTGGTACTATTAAATACCTTCCTACATTTCAGTATGTAAACTAGAATAAATAGACAGGAGGACTTAACCTATCACATATCAAACAATTACGAGGACTCACGAATACAGGTATGCTACAAAAGATTATCACCAGACAAGCTTGGACGCGCCCTCCTTCAGGACTGACATCTGAGCAGTAAGCTTGGGCATCGGCACCGCACTTTTCACTAAGCAGAGGATCCATTTGATAGTCATTGGCAGCATCTTTCTCAGCCACAAACACCTCATTCTGGCATGCTTGAGAAAGTGTGTCTTTGTGCTCTCTGTGGCAATGAACACGAAGACCAAAAGTTGGTACGGAATTTTCTGAGTACTGCATTGAACAATTCTCTGATATATTTTACATTCAGTAAAGGAAAAGGCAGCAAGAACGCTTCTTGAATTTCGTATATGAGGATCGTTATGGTCACGAATGTTCCACCCATTCCGTGACGTCCTAGAAAGTGTAAAATGTTACGAAGACCCTTGCAGGAGTAATGTGAATAGGAAAGTCAAATAAACTGTGTCTCACCTCAAACAAGCTAAAACACCTCCTGGACCTAGAAAATAATTTGAGCAGGTATCTTCAATATCCTTCTGGCATGCAGCTTCTGCAGTTATGGATCATCAATAAAGCAAATTAGTCTTGGAATTCAAATTCCAAAATCAGTCATGGCTTCAAGAAGAGAACGACGGGTATACAGTCAGAAAGATCACTCACCTTCTGAGCTGAAATCCTTAAAATGTCCTTGACTATACAGGAATAGACTTCACAGAACTAAGAGGAAAGCACCAATGCATTTCATCCATAGTTTGATTCTCTGAATATTTCCGAAGAGAAAAGTGGCCTTCATCTCTTACCAATTTTCTTGTCCAAAGTTAAATCTTTGTACGAAGCAATCTTCATGAACCGGACCTCAATCTTGCAGGGATCCGAGATTTCCTTTCCTGCAAATTTAAGGATGGAAAATTTAGGACGAAATTTTAATATCATAGAGAGCTACATGCAAGTCTTGATTCTGAAACAAGACACAGGGTAAATAATTTCCATTCTTCATGGTTATGTAGAAAGATACCCTACGGAATGATGACACATCCATGTTAATGATTTTTTTGAATCTCCGTTATGGACCATCATTCACATCAAATAGGCTCGATAGTGATACTGGTGATACAATTCGACTACAAACATAATCTTATTATGATTATGATTATTCAGCAGGATTTGTTTGAAACTAAATCTCTTCAGCCACAAATAAACATTTTACGTATGGTGGAAGTAAAGTCAAAGCCCAATTGCACCGAATGAAAAAGCCTTTCACTATTATCGATTTCAAACACGTTACCATTGGGTGCCATGTTTCCTGCTTGCTCGCTCTGTAGCTCCTGTGTAATGCACTCAAGATAACTCCCAGTCTTTGGAGTACAGAAGTTTTTAATCTCATCACTGCAATTTCCTGTCATCATCACAGATCGTGAAGTAAGAAAAGGAATGTATACCGTCTGAAGCAAAAAGTTACTGTACTGCGTCTTATACAGGAAGGTCAGTCATACACGTCTTAAGACTCAACTAGTTAGTTACTTCTTTCCGTTAATGTCATGTTTATAATCATGTTCCGACTCTCCTAGCGCAAGACACCACTCAATCCAGGGAGCTGATTCTATCGTGTGCATTTAAACTCCACTCAAGTGTAAGAAAATAGAGTTTGATCGAAGTTATGTCCTTGAAAAGGTTCCTTCGTTAGATGCAACGCAGATAGTCTCTGCGGAAGAAGAATATCAAAAGCAAAGCCTTCCCTTTTGCAAAGATGCTTCTAGGCTCTCATTATCAGAACCTAAGCTATCAAAGTAAGAAGGGCGAGGACGAATTTCTCTGAAGTCAATCCTCCAATCGATCTGGGTCCAAGAGGTCTAAAAGAAGTAGGTTTGGATGTAATGTCCACCAGATTAGACAGATACCAGCGGAAGACATCATGTATCTATGATTCAAAGCGTCTGCCAAAGCTTACTGGTAAACGTGCAACGCCTGCCCCAACAAACAAGCAGAAATTGATCAATTCAGTTAAAGCTGAACTCTTCTCGTACCTTTCGGATCGAGATCAAACGTTTCCTGTATGTTTTCTTGTGGTGCAGTTTCAACAGATTTGTTTGGCGAAGAGTCAGTGCCGCTGTTCCGGCTATCATCTTCGTTGAGTGAGTTCACAAGCGACAGGTGACATCCCAGGACCGCTACCAGGATGAAGACGACCGCCAAATTCATGGCACTCGGCGTCCAGATTTTGCTTCTGAGAGCCATACGTCCAGATGGAGCCTTCTTCCCTACGACGAACCAATTCTTCCGTTCATCACCGAGTAGTATGCCACAGAGTCAATGCCTAGACCTCCACCAAATCTGCAGAACTACAAAAGTCAGTGATACAAATGCACATGCCATCGATCGCAAACCGGATCTGGTCAATGCTCAGCCCGAATTCTGCAGGATTGCCTCAACATGCAAATGCTCATGCCTCGACATGAGCAACCTCAAATTGCTCACTCTACAAAATCTCCAGGCCCCTGACCTTGAACCACTCTGGATGCAGCAAAACTTCAATGTCAGCGAAGCCGATGCTGTCACGTGTACCAAATCTACCTCTCTAATCTAATCGGGTCACGGACGAGAGCAGCTGAAAGAAGGCGACGAAAGGTGGAGAAATTCCTCTGCTCCAGCACTGCGTAGATTGACGAGGAAAAGTAGAGAACAATCGAGCAAATTGGGAAGAAGCGAATCGAGTGATCACTCACCGCGAACGTCCGACGATCAGGAGATCAGAGCATCAACTCCATGAGCATAAGACCTCCGTTACGAGGACTGCTCAGGATGTTGCAAGAACTGGAGGACCCAGGGGCTAAAAAGAACGAAGCAAAGCTATGATCAGTCGTGAGCGCTAAGAAAGAGCCGAAACATGGTATAAACTACTCGACATTAATGAATTCGTGGTGCGGAAACGCGAAAAGTCAGCCATGGCTTTGACGATTTTGTCACGCTCCGAATCATTCGCGCTCGTAGGATGCGCAAGTCACTGGCCATGCTCGGCTGGCCACACCACAACTGCATCCCATCGTGCTCGCATGCACAGCCCAGCCCAGCCCCCGTCCGGCCGCAGCTGCTAGCACGGCCTCCAGACTCGGGACTTCGCTTCCCCTGCCGCTCCCTTGCTAACGACCGACCCCCCAGTCCGACCGCTGGACATTACAATAGTGCGAGTCCCTCCCCCTCCCCCATCCGCATCCCCCCCTGCCGGCCTAACCGGGGACTCACGCAATCGGGCCACCGGGGGGTTGGGAAAGCGAAAGCGAAAGCCAAGGGATGGTGCCGAGGCTTTGGACGAACGTCGACGACGTAGTCCGGGGGCCAAATCCTCCTCAGAAGGTGCCTGACAGACGAGGAGAATACGAACCCCCGGGGCCGCAGTTTCGCCCTCACTCTCTGGAAAGTGCCTCGTCGAATGGCGCCCGACTTTCTGCCTTCCCCGAACCTGTGCACGCTCACCATTAGCCCCATCATCCACTTGGCACCAAATATTCCGCCTTTTCGCGACCCCACCATCAAGCCCCTTTCCTTTCCATCCATTCGCTCAAGCGCTCCCCCTCGCCTAAGGACCGACGGCATCCTCAAAGCTGTCATCCCAAAGTCGGGGAACGCCCGCACCCCCTCCCCCCGAAGGTGGGCCTTCGTTCCCAAGGAAGGGAATCGAGCGGCTCTTGGCCCCACATGACCCGCTCGCTGACGTCAATGCGCGAGCCCCTCTCGTTCTTCTCATGCCACCGAAGCGCTGTTTTCTTTTCACGTTGACCACGACATCAACTCACCAACCACGTAGCTAAGTTACTACGTAATTCTGCCTTCTGTACTTATGATCTCCCGCAGTTGGATGCATTTTGCATGCAATTTATATCTTGGTCATCATGTTGCCCACATTGTTCTGCTCGCAAATACAATTGCTCTCTCCCTATTACTTGAGAATTAATTGGTCGGATCTAAAACAAGTCGTTTTACTCGATTGGTGTTATTTGTACTCGGTCCACTCACTAACATGACCTCGGAATATGTCTCTGACATGGCTGAGTTTGCTTTTCGACACAATCACTCGTTTTGTGCAACAGTTTTCAAATGTTGCACAAAATACTTGTATCATTTTTCGTATCGGATAAGTAATGTACACCTTCTCGAAGACTGAAACTTGGATATGATATTTTTATTTTCAAATTCATGATTATTTGGAATTAAGGTTAAACGGGTAAGAATAGAGATAGTCCCATTTTTTCCTTAAATTTATATTTATCTTACAAGTTTTTTAAATTATATTTATTACTGATTTCCTATATATTTGAATTTTAAGAGTTATAATTTCAAGCCACACATATATTCTTAAATCTATTATAATTTTGAAACGTATGGAATATTTCGTTTATGTAATCATGTGAAACACACTTTGATGATGATTTCTGTTCATGTATTTCTGTAAGATTATATTCACAAAAACTATTGGTGGTAGTGAATATTATTTAGGAATTGCTTCAAATTCATAGGACTGCAAGTTTTTTTCAGTTCAAAGATAGTATTAAATTAGAAAATATAAACAACTAAGAATAACATGCTCGTAATTAAATGTATCAATAAAGATGATAAAACAGTATGAAACTATTCGAAATCAACTCTGGACCTCCGGAGATATAGAGCAGCGATAATTAAACCACGTGTTCTTTACCCGTGCGTTTCCAGGTGGGACAACGCATTATCTTGTAGAGGACGAAAAGCCTGAATCCGGGCGATCTTGTCCGGATAGGTGCACTAAATGTCATAATTAATGGGGCCGCCCCACCAAAGTTCATTTAAGACCGATAAGGAGGGTGGAATCCTCCTTCGGCCCAAGAATCCATGACCCATCGAGGCAACGTCCCGACGCAGGATGCGCACCCCCTTCCAGAAGACCAGGAGGAAGGGAGAGGGGGGAGGGGCTAAATTAGGCCCCGGCCTGGGATCCGGGCACGATGGTATTGCCACCTCGGGGCCCCTCGTGGCGCTTCGCACTAGGAACTTTAGCAGAGCGAGCGAGCAATTCATGCTCGCAGGCCGATCCTCAGCTTTCATGGAAGTTTTTCTATTCTAGAAAATGGCGGAATTATTTATACGAGCGCCCATTCCGTTCGCTTCTCCTCCAAGTAGGAATCCGTCGGGGACAGCCCGAAAGCATCGGAGACCGAAGTCAGAGAGAAGTGCCATTGGTCTCCGTCGACAAGAGTTTCATATTCCCTCGAGTTTCGAGGGGCAGGCGAGCTGCAAACGCATGAATCTTGTCTTCTTGCGGTGGAGCTGATTCTGCTGCTCTCATGTGACGTGGTGTCACTTCATTGTGCGCGCGTCGAATTGGCCCGAGAACGAATCCGTTTGTTACAGATTCGCGAGCTCACAGCGCAGCAAGACGGTATCTGCGCTGATGGGAGTCGGGACTGCTGTCGAGCGAGGAGGGACCAACAGCGTGACTCAGATTCCAGTGATTCCACCAGGACTGGACACGGCCTTCAAATCTCTCTTGTTGCGCTCTGACGCTCTGTGCACGAGATCGGGACATGCGTTTCGGGGAGAGGGAGAGAGAGGGAGAGAGAGGGACTGGTAATCATGCCGGTTCAATTCGCCGAACGTGTGCCTCAAAGCTTGTGGAATTTGGCCAACTTTCGTGACGACGGTGGCAACCAACCAATTCGTCTTGCAATGCGACGGACGCTTTCCGTCTTCGGTCTCCGATCTCCGGGTTCGAAGTGGGTCACGAATCGATTCCGTGCCCTCTTGACCATTTCTTTCCAGAAAGGTACTGCTACCAGAAAGGTCGTGCGGATGAATGAATGCAAGGACACGGTGCTCTTGCGAGCGCTTGCTTGATAACGCCATGGACCTTACCAGTACAATTGAAGAGAGACACTCGAGAGTTTTGTGGAGCTTGTGTTAGATCGATCGCTCGATCGAGCGAGCCCTAGAGGATTCATGCGCATCCTACTTTCGGAGCTCTTTTCCGATCTGCAGTCGACGGTCAACCCTAAACGCACAGAGTGTGGTACAATCCAAGCCGCCAGTCGTTCCATGATTTCACGTACCTAAAGAACTCCCAACCAAGATGACGATCACGGCCGTAGGAAAAGTTATGATGATGAGTGTGTGCACATTGTTCTCATGTGGCAAGGGCTCAAATTCCACGAATTCCCCCTGTAACGTACGAGGTGCAGAGATCGGCTCGGCATCCGCGAGAGCGAAAGGTTGAAAGAATGAATGTCCTGCTATCTGAGCTGATGAGAAGACTGGAACATCAGCGAGTGCATTCCTTCCGGCAAAATGCAAGCAATCAAATTTCGTCTCGAGACCGCGTGCCATGCACGTGCTCCTGCTGCTCCTGCTGCCCATATTCCTCTACACTTCTATACCGCAACCCGATCTCGCACCACTGTGACTATATTTTTCAGATATCGTAGACGGTAGAAAGAATTCAACTGAGAATATCAAAATACGACACGTCTCGTGTAAATCGTACGAGCCATCAACCTGACAAAAGCAAGCAAGCATGCAGGTGCACAATCTGGAGCGAAGTTTCCAGAGCTTCAGCCGGGCCATCGTTTGGGATTCTCGGAACGCAAACCGATGGGCCCACCAGAATTCGAGTGATTGCATGAGTGAGTGATGTTCTCGTGGTGTCAGAGCGACGAAGGTCCAAACAAAGCTGGACCTTCATCATCAAAGCTTTCCTCCTCTCTCTCTCTCTTTCTCAAACACACACACACCGTCTCATCTTATTATGAAAATTGGCAACATGTACGATGGTGGAATTCACGGGGAAAGAATTACCACTTCCACTTTGCGGACTTCGTCAGACCCGTAGACTCAGCAGGCGAGAGAGAGACACCACCGCACACAAAGTCTAATATTTCAGCACGTGAAGCTGGCTTCGAGACTGTGGACCTGCATCTCCGACCGATCGATGCTGCATACTGCTTTTGTTGGTGTATGTTATTCTTGACCTGAAGGAGCCAGTGAGTGCCGTATTAATCGGGCAACATGGAGACTGGATATAGTTGTAGACTTCTATTAGTTTTTATCCACTGCGTTTCCTTTGGTACTTACTCGAATCCTATATATGATATATAGGATTCGAGCATAAGAATATATAACATATCCTTACACGTTGGATATTTCGTGCTGCAATTTTGCTATTTGTTATGCTTTCATGAGGACATATATGGCAAACTACAGATACCATGAAAAATATAAGCGTGTTGCTTTTAGATATTGGGGGTTTTATAGAATGACATTTTAACGCGGGAGTTGTTGCACTGTCTTCGTTTTGACATGGAAATGGAAGCGTATACATGCCACAGTGACCAATGCATTTTCGTTATGTCGATTCTTGCTCTACTTTCAATTTGAGAGCATGAGATTCGCTAAGTGATTCATAAGTGCGTGTAGTTGTAGCTCTACCTTGCAATGTTGAAGAGACATATTTTATTTGATCACTTGTAAGAAGGATTAAATTGAATTGAATAGCGCAATGATACCAACATTTTCCTGTCAAGCACATAAATTTTTTTCCCGTTTCGATCTGATATCCTGAGAATTCTTAGCACCCAAGTTATAGTTTCTTTTGAAGTTTGTTGCAAATAAGATGTCAAGTACTGTTTTTATTCATAGATATTTTCTACTTGACATTATGAACTAGATTTTACATTTCGAAAATTAACACATGAATTTTAAGATATTTAGATTACATGATTTTAATCCTTTTACTTTCATTATAGCGTTAATATTTATTGATATCTTATATGTAACATATGAACAAATGTTAGTAGATTTGGAACATTTTTAAGATGTAGAAGATTGGAAACAAGAGGACCACATAAGTAAAAAGTAGGATAAAATCATATTCTTTTTGGTGATATATTGCTAGAATGTTAGATATTGTTACATATGCATAGTTACCTTTATACTTGTGTATATCTATTCATGATAATGTTACATTATATCTTATGTGTTATCTACAGAGATCCATAGGAAATGAAGTACTCCTAAAGTACTTGGAGTATCAACCACAGCAACCACTAGGTCGTGTTAAAATATTATTGAGCATGTTTTATGTTTTAGTAGCGTGTCATTTATGATATTGAGTATTTTTTAGATTGCTTTTAGTTCATTAGCCTTTATAATGATTTCACATAGAATACTAAATAAGTTCATCTTCAGTGTTGAAAATGATTGCGTTGGCCTCTTATTCATGACAAATGTATCTTTAAAAAGCAGTGAGAATTGGTAAACCTTTGTCAAGCATATTTTCTTTTATGCAATCATTTTAAAGTCTAACTTTTTATCTCTAATACAACATGACTTCTCAAAAAGAAAAGAGATTCCCGTTATGTGATACGATCTTCGAATTAGTCAATTCATTAGAAAGTTCTATTGTTTGGGACATGTTAGAGTATTATGTGTCATTTCTAAAAAAAGCTTGTGTAATGGACATGATAGAATGAGTATATATATATATATATATATATATATATATATGCATTTGACTGTTGAATTCCATAGATGACTTGAGACTGAAGTTGTCAAAGTTTGAATACTGGAATTATTCATTAGAAGGATACAATTTGTTTAATAAGATTTTAAGTTCACAACCTTTTCGCTTAGATAAAGTGGAAGTCTTCGGTACAATACATAATGCACATTCGAATGCCAGTATGCTATTGTTCGTAGACCGTTTGGATGTTTTAGTAACCATACTATACAAAATACAAAAAAAATGTTGATGCTGTAAGCTAGCCATATATTACCGGTTCGGTCTCATCGCTGCAGGGCTGGACGGGGTATTCTCATCTTTGGGGCTATATTAATTTTTCTCGCCCCCTTTGCTTTTCTGTCGTCGGTGCAGAGCCCGATGTTCGTAGACTGGCTCCTAGCCTTTGCCTCCGCGTCCAGATCAATCGATCTCGTAGCTAATCTTAGGACAATCTTAGGACACGGTTATCGTTGTTGAGGCATAATAAGAAAAGGACGAGAGAAGGAACATGCGCTTTGGGTTCAACTTTTTGCGGGACAGAATTTATCAGGGAAGCAGCTTTCTAATCAATCAAAGCAAGCAAGCAAGCAGCAGAAGTCATACCTGGACTGCAGAACTTGCGTAGGCTGTGGTGGACAAAGCTCTCAAAGGCCTCGCTCTGTGCTGGTGAAGCCCTGGTCTGATCCAGTGCCAAAATAAGGCTGCCGGGCTGGAACTTTTGTGGCCAGTGGTCGACGAGGGACGGGGGGATGCGTAGAAGAAACAGCAGTTCATGTTCGTGTCGTCGTGAGAGCGAAGTCAGAATCGGCCGCTGCGAGACTGGAATGCTTAAAGTGGCAGTCGGAAAGCGCAGACTGTTTGATTTCCGAATTGAGGAGTGCGACGAGAGGGATGCGGGAATTCTCGGAAGGAGCTCGGAGTGCAGTGCAGAAGCAGTACTCGAGTGCCTCTCCTGTGATCAGAAGAGGTCAGAAGCGAGTGAGTCAGAGGGCGAGAGGAATTGCTGAAAGTTGGGAGTCAGAAGCTTTTCCTTTCCCGTCTGAAATCAGAAGCTGCCATGGCATCTTTTCGACCGAGGGCTCCAAAATATGTCCTCCCTGCACTTGTGCTTCCTCTTCATGACATCGCTCTGGAATTATACCTTCAGAGGCTCGATGCTGTTCAACGGCCTCAGGAACTTCTCTTTTTTCTGCTTTTGAGCCTGACAAAGTGACTGCAAATCTGTCAGACGAGATATTTGTTCACTGCGTGAGCGCCCGTGCTTCTCCTTGTCCACATTGGCGAACGCATTTCACACGACCTTGCAATGCCCTTCTTCACTCTGCTGTAAAACCTCATCTTCCAATGGAGACCTGTTTCTGCACCAATCAAGCAAACGAACCGCAACGTCGTCAGGTAGTGAAGACATAATCTCGAACACTCGAAACTCCCAAAAGGTCTGGGAACCTGAAAGCCCAGACAAAAGACTACGATTGAGCTTTCAGGATAGCCAACATGAAACTAGACCCTGTGCGCTCAATCGTCGCCGACGTTCTGATTTCTCCTTTACCAACAGCAGCGAACACCTCAGGAATGAGCTTTGCAGACTAAGCTTTGGATTCGACGTTTTGCTGCAGCACTTCCACAAACCCAGTTCCTCAGCCACCTTTGACAACGCCCGGCTGCTGACGGCTACGAGTACGGATACGTCGTTTGGCCACAATCTCGTACTGTAGGAATGTACGTACACGGAATCCGGTGCTTGGATTGAGTCGAATTTATCAGGCTTTGACCTCCTGCTGTTCTTTCCTTACCAGATATGGTCGTAACACGAACGGATTCATAGCACGCATCTGAGACAGTCATGATGGAGGACTAGTGCTGGAGACAAGAGTGGGTAGAGTCAGCCCTATCATGGATGATTATCGTAGCACATGAGGTTGACAATATGTTGGTGAGTGTAACATTTTATTCTCTTGAACTAGTTTTGGGACTCTCTGCTCATTTTCTGGCAAGTCTCGATCGTTGAGATTGGAAGTCATGAGGTTGGAGTCACCAACTGCTTTTCATGGACGAGTGCAGACAGAGATCCATAAAGCTCGTTGGGGATGAGGGAGGAGTAGGCGAATGAGGCGTACATGCCGTTGTAATGCTCGGTCGAGAATCCTCGAGTTTTGGCTGACGGATCTTGTCTCCATAACTAGTTTGCTCGCATTTGTATGTTGGAGAGACTCCTGATTGACACAGGCCTCGAAGCACCGACCCATGCCAGGCGTGTACTGCTATCATCTCATTGCAATTTTAATCTTCAGATGCTGCTTCACAACTCAGGCATTGCAACCAGCGGGTGTCCGCCCTTCATAGTTCAAGACGAAGCTGACTTAGATCAAAGGACAGTAAAAAGTTGCAACCCGGTAGCTGGATCGTTTCCATCCGTAGCCTGCATAGGAAGTCATCTGGCTCATTTGAAGAGGAACTCAATGAGTGGAAAAAGCAGAGAAAGGATCGTCATACCAGTCAGTCCTCAGGCAGGCTTTGGGTCTACTTCCAACTGCGGATGGTGTTGAGCGACTGACATGAGACGAAAATGGTCGATATCATCATAAAAGCGCATATCGAGCTCCGTCATGATTCTAACTTCTTGAGCAGAATCGAAATGCACTCCTCTTTCATGTGAACTCTGTTCCAGTCTAGTAACAGCTTATAGGGGGATTCTTTTTCCGACTTACGGAATTTATCCTCTCTTATCCCTGAGACTAGTTTTCCCTCCCCCGTCTGACTATCATCATCGTGCAGATGATGAATTTGTCCGCAAGAAAAGTTTCGTTTTTGACGTGAAACGAATTCTGATGAAGTACTGAAGGAAATCGAAAATTCGAAACATTTCGGCTGCAGTTCTGAGACGAGTATCTCCTGTTACTTATTACGAAGTTGAAACTTCTCTAACGAAGGCACGAGAGACCTACCGTTTTACAAGTTCTACGACCATAACTCGTTGAACTACTCAGTGGAGTTACAACTCCACTCTCCCTCAGAGCTCTGAGAGTCCTGCTACGGTTATATACTTCGACCTGAAGAAAGGGTCCTCGGAGTACTGAGCATTTGACAATTATCATCGAAAATCGAACTATCATTCTGAGGAAATCGCAGTGATTCTTAACAAAGCAATCATGCAAATGATTGTCAGTCAAAGTGAAAAGCAGTTCAGCAGGACATTCTACTTCTCGATGAACTAAAATTCTTTCATACTCTCATCCTTCGCAATGAATGAATCTTATCTTCCATCTTTGGCCTCGCGCGGTTTATTCTTCCTTGGTGAAGGACATCTCTCAACAACAGTCTATATCTTTTAGAACCCTACCGTGGAGGCTTAACAGAACAGTATGAAGATGATTACTAGCATCTCAAGTGAGCATCCAGAATGACAAAATATACTCTCTCGACTGAGCTGAGCTGCGCTGCTCAGCCTCCCTCCAGCATAAATAGCTCAGCTGATTAACTCCACCTCCATTAGGCTCAATTCCGCCGATTGCCTGTCGTAGGAGACAAGCGGACATGGCGTCTACATGCTGGTTCATAGTCCTGGCCTCCACAACTTTGCGCTTGCCTGACTTACACGGTTGTAATCGTCAGTTGTACAATAGACAGGATGGTTCAGGTTTCATTCGTCCTGTAAAGGTGACGGAGCATACAAGGCTATCGCTGCTTCCGAAGTCTAGTGCAATGTTGGCAATCGTATCTGTGATCGTAGAGAAAGGCTTTCTTTAGAGCTGAAGGCCTTGGACCGGGATCGACCACTCTGTAATGAAGTTGGGTTCTGAAAACATTCGCATTGAATCATTATGAGCGAGTGATGTGACCTTCCCTATGGAAGTACGTGAGAGAAATGGACTATTCGACACCTGAAGCGTGTTCATGATTGCTCCAGCTACTACTGACCAGTTGAATATAAGATGCAAAAGCCAGCAGTTCCACGTACTTTGAGCTTGATTGATGAATCAACCTGTCAGTTTCTTCCAAGTTTTTCACTCGATCTACCGGGACCTCGCTTTTGCCATGATGTTGATTGTGGACGTGCATCAGGAGAGGCACGAGGTAGAAGGTTACTTTTTAGGTCGTGCTCGTTTCATGCTCTGCTCTTCAAAGCAGTCCAGCTACCCTTGCAGCTGGTATATGCATTATATCGATCGCAAGAAGAAGAAGAAGAAGAAGAAGAAGAAGAAGAAGAAGAAGCTGTTGTTGTTGCTGCTGAGGCAGCATGCATCATGCATCATGCATCATGCAGTGCACGCGCCAGGGTCCAACCCCTAATGCCTACCAAAGCCTGTAGAGTCTCACACGCTAGCGATGGAATGGGTCGGCAATGTGCAGCCGAACGGTGGCTTTCGAGTAGATCTGGACGTATCAGTTTTAATGATTTGACTCAATCCTTGCACACGGGCACTTGAAGAGTCTCGATGAAAAGTCAGCCTGTAAAGCATGCTCTCTCTGGGTAGAAATCCGACACAGAAATATGGCTGTCGACACCAGACAGAGAGACAGACAGATAGATGGCCGGATAGATAGAGCGTTGCCGAATGATTGCATCATAAGGGCCCAAGGAATATATTCAGGTGCTTTTAAGAGTTAGAGAGAGAGAGAGAGAAGAGAGCTGTGGTGCCTGGCTGCTGCTGCTCGTTGATCGCCCCAGCCAGCCTTTCATAGACCTTGAGGCCCGAGCCGGCTGGCCGCCCTGGATCGACGGTGGCGTAATGAAAGAGGCGGACAGGGAAGGAAGGAAGGTATGAATCCATGAATGATGAGGCTGGTGTGACACTCGTGACGCCGAGGAAAGGGAGTTGCTTGTTGGGGCCGGGATAATGGGCAAGGAGTCTGATTGCAGACGACGCTTGGGTTTCCAGAGAGTTGCCATCTGCAACAGACAGACAGATAGATTTTCATGTTTCAGGAGGACCTGGATGGGATGGGATGGGATGCTGTGCCAGGCGGCCAATCGTGCATGAAACGTGAGCTTCACGCTGCAAGCGAGCGAGAGATCAGATCTGTGTAGGAAGATGGATGCACTGTGTATGGAAAGAACAGAATGGATCGATTATGATGATCCAATCCGTCTTTGTTTCTCGTCGGTACGAGTCACGTTACGCGAATCTCCTGGGGGAGATGTGCTCCATGTGACATACACGTGATTTGGACCGGCCTCAAAGCCCGTGCTCTTTACGGCAAGCCAAAAATCCCACAGCCTGGCAACCCTCTCTTTGATGTGCCTCATCACTTCTCCTGAGGCAAGTGAAGGCCGGATGAGACGAGAGGAGGGGAGGGGAGACGCCATTTCGAGAGATATACGGTGCCCGGCACGGATGCAACGCAGCCAGATCAGTCTCTTTTCTCCAATGGGAAACAGCTGTGAGAATCACAAACAAATCAGAGCACTCCATGAACTTGGCAAGTTTGTCTAGACCTCTTTACGGTCTTTAGCCCCTTCCAGTTGTGATGTGACCTGAATGAGTCACGAGAAGTAGAACCGACCGAGGAATCAAAAGCTCGCTCATCGATTTCGTGACATCAGCATGAACATCTGGAAGCACAGGCCAGGAAAAACAACGGATAGCTTGTAGCTTGTCACTGTGAGCATCTGATTCTTACCTGGAGTTACTGGCTGCACTTTGCCTTTACATTGAGCGTATGAAATCCACCGCCTGAAGATTCCGATTCAGAGCTTATGAATCATCTACAAAGCAAGTGCAGTGCATCTTTAGGCTGGGAAACCCGGTGTGTGAATTCTGCAGTACCAGCACACCGACCTACGGTGCATAGCCCTCCACGTCCGTGCTGCCAAATCCTCTCCCAATCACATACGACATGTGTCCTTGCAATGAATGCTGCAGGTCGCATTTGACCAATTACCCACACACCTCAGATCACCGGCGAGTCCTTCTGGCATAGTATGTCTCTCTGTTTGGTCGTTCGTCACCTGCAGGGGTCTTGAGGGATCCTTTGAGACAATGTCGGATTGACAATTTCGGCGCACCCAGTGAAGGCAGATACACGGACTAGACACCTCCGATTTTGACCTCTCAAGCACGAGTTCCTTTCTGCCTTTCTGCAACAGTACCTGAGTTTGATGCCAATACAGTATGCGAGGTCTCTGTCCAAACTTATGAGTACGGATTCTGATGAGTACCCTGAATGGCCATTTGACTTTGGACCACATCTACGGAGTGAAGGATACGGGTATGTGTGAAAAGCTGAGAGTGAATCTGACATAGATGTACTCTATTGGTCTATACCAGCGACTTAACGTGTTTATGGATATTGACACATGTTGTTACAGAAGCTAGAAGAATTATTTGGGACTGTAGGTAAAGATGAAATTATTATAATCTGGGAGTTGCTTTGAACTGTGAACTTATATCTTATCATGTATGTGGAAGAATATTTGAAACATTTATCAAGTATATAAAGTAACATGAATATCAATCACTGTAATCTGTAATACGCAGCAATATATTGAACTTTATGTTGTCTTTTCGACGCAAAAAATCAATCACGTTGTATGATCATTCTTGGAACGCTTCGAGATAGTTTGACCTAGACTCAATGTTTTAGTCAGGTCCTATGCTCCATGTTTTCACTCTTAAGTGAGTGAAAACATGGAGCTAGGACCTGACAGCCTAGCCCAGTTTTACCGTTTCATTTCTTCCTACTTTCACACTATATTTCTTCACAGCTTATCGCCTTAAAATGTAATTATGTATGGGAAACGAATTGGTTGTGGCCTTTTTATTTGTGAATATCGCTGTTGTTTCAACACTCTTTATGGAAACCCATATTTAACAAGCAATATTGGAAACGTTGGAGGATCCTCAACGCAGAACTCAGTCTTCAAAGACTTGATCGTGTACTTCCTCTTTACACGCTCACAACTTTGCTATGACACATTTCTCGGAGCACTACGAGGGCTCACAGTCAAGCATTCTGGACACGGTACACGAGTGTGCAAATATAGAGGAAGCCAGATAATGCAGATTGCAAGTTGTGTTTATCCAAAAATTCTTCCATAGCAAAGAAACGACGATGCTGAGACCTCCCTCGCGGTTCCTTTGGAGGAGCCTTGCTTGAAGCAAAGATTGAAGCTCTGTCTAAGCAGAAGTTTGAATAGAGAGCGCTCCGTCACGCCTCGCATGGACAAGTTAGGGATTAGCTGGCGCTTCTGAAATCTAATCCGTACATTCTGCTTAATAATCCGTATCTAGAGATGCTCCATCTATCCAAGGCAGTAACCAGGTACTCTAAATTTGGAGACAACTATATTGTTGTACAAAGTGTGGAAGTTGGTATAAGCAGAATCAAAACACATTCTAGCTTTGACAGGTATGTTCTGGTTGCTTGAACAATCGTTTGCGGCATATAGATTCACACCTATATACCACACAAATTTACGTCGCAGGTCGAGGGATTCAAACAAGATGTCACTTGACCTTAAGATGACCTTGCGCTCAAACATTAGCTATGAATGGACGACCACAAACTTCCCTGAATGGCTACTGCAATCACAACTTGCAATGAGCAAAGACGAACGATCGTCCTTCATGCGTTACTTCCTTCAACTTCTCTCCAAGGTTTGAGATTATGTCCGACCTGTCTGTACATTTCTATTCTTCAGACTCTGCCTGAATTCTCTGTCATGTCCATCTGGAAAAGTAGTTATTTAGGAGAGCCCTGCGTAAGGATTAAAATAACGATCTAACTCTTTAACACAAGCTCTACAAACAAAATTTCTATGATAAGCCAAACCACTCTTGATACACTCGAGGTATTCCAGAAGAATGGAGAAGAAAACTCATGTGGAAGCCTTTAATTTGCTACTGCATAAAATCTCATGATCAGAAACCTTTTAGCGCTGAGCTTGTTCTGCCTCAAGGGCTGACATCAATAACTACGGCTGTGAGGAGATCGAGAACCAAGACGAAGCACATGATTTACAGTATCTTGGAAGTCGACTCTAGACTAGACCCTCAGCGGCAGAGGATTCGTGCCATATTCTACTTTTGCACCTAGCTTTCAACAGTGACTTCTCCATAAACCAGCTTTGATGAAGATCAAGGACTTCCTCATAAAGGGACTCCCATGTATACTGTAAGTATGACGAACCAAGTTTGAAGCCTCCAGGGTATTGCTAGCTCATGAGAGCTGGAAATATTCATGCAAGACCACCTGCAGCCACAGTAATGATCAAACAAGGTACTCAAGTAGCCTCTACCTGGTGAACATTCTGAAAATGAAAGAATCCCCATATACTGTAAGGGTTTCTTGCGTCAATGTGAAGTGTATATCATCAATTGAAGCAGCTAATGACGACAATATGAATGAATTCCAATCATAAATTCCTCAAATAACAGTGGCATCCAGCAGCATTGAAACCATCCAACTTGAACAACTTTATGTAAAATAGGAGCTAAAACTTTAGATTTGCATCTACAGAGAAGAAGGCTTTCTTAAACATATCTTCCTTTATTTCTGTTATTATGTTATCTCAAGGAGAACACATAATCCACTGGCAGATAAACCCTCAACGTTAAAGTTCAATGGGTAACGAGACCGACTTTACACAGGCTTTGTGAATACTCACGATTACATTAGAATAACAACGACTTAATCTCTATGGACGACCCTACACATCTCCACTTGCAACAGGAAGGTTGATGTACCCTCGAGCTTCAAGTTAGACTGACGCTGACCTTAGCACAAAATGAATATGACCCTTTCCTAAGTTAAGCTTTCTTAGTGGATTCTTCATATTCTATGCATCCAAGCTCTTCCATCAAACCTCAGGATTTAACGTTGACAACAATTTCAAGATTCGACAGAAAAAGCCCAGCCAGTTCCACTTAAAGCTCAGGGGGTATTACAGTCAGACTCAGGAAGGCTCATCACTACTACTCTACTGTCCTCAAGAGTACGAAACAGCTCGCTGTATTTCCAGCAGAGGCTAGTGGGGCATCCTTGGACGTTTGACCAAGATCTATCAGTCTCTGAGACGTAGCCATAAAATCCTCAAACCAGTTTTCCCAAGAGGAATAGTTGCAACTTTCCCGGGTGAGGCAACCTTGGAAACACCAAGTTCTAAGGCATCAAAGACTGCCACTATACGGTAGACATAATGATGTACACACAACTCACCTCACCTACATATCTAGGTTACAGACTGATTATGAGTCCTGACTGTCGCTTTTCCGGGAGGAGAGTTACCTGAACCTGAGCTCTCTGAATCTTTGGTGGATGTGTCTGAACCCTTGGTGACTTCAATAGGCCCTTTACTTTGTTGGTTAAAAAACTTGCCGAGAAACTTCTTCGAGATAGACGGAAACGGAAACGTGGCCTTCTGCTTGGATGACTGTTTCACGGCCTCGATTTGAATGTTTGTGCGTTCTCGCTCTGCCTCTGCAATTCGCTTCTTCATGTTGGCCAGATCTCCCTTCAGCGCATTGAAATCGTGATGGACAGTGTCCCATGCCTCTTCGGGCGTACCAGCATCCTGCAAAGATGCAGCTTCCAATGCTTGAACTTGTGAGGGCGGTAAAAGGGCCTTGATATTACCAGGCAGATCATGCAGCAAGAATCCACCCGTCATGGCAGTCCTTACTTGTTCAAAGAAAAGAACTTGAACAACTACACGGAGGGGTAGACGTTCATTCTGTGCTGCATGCATACAAGCGTCCATTGACAACTTCTTGCAATCCATCAATCGGCATATCCTTTTACGGTCGCTTTTACTTAGATTGGGATGTTCCTGGAAAGAGCAAGAGAATTCAGAATCAGTAGGTGTAAGGAGGTTCAGTCCAAGTTGAATTTTTTCTTCCAGTGCAAACTCATCTTACACTAACCTCACATTTGTTTCTAGGCTTCAATCAAAGCTTCGATCGATTTTCTATAAAACGGAAGCAGGAGGGCCTCGTATCGAGTAGCAGACACCTTCAGACAGAGCAATTTGGACAAATCATATGCGACAGTTTCTGAAGACGGCAAATGTGCCGGGGACGTAATGATGTATAACTTGGGCGTCATCATCAAACAGGACAGACAAGCATTGACGTCGTGGTACAATATGCAGAGATCCGCTAACGGAAAAATACATCTCTGATCGACAAACAGTAAGTTACACGCAGATACTCTCATTGCAATCACAAGACTCATCGTTTGCCCACATACACAGAACATAAGCTTAAACTAGAATCTTCATCTTCACGTATATGTGGAAGCTTACCTTGAGAAACATATCGATGCCTCGATACAACCCATCATGAACAGGCCGGGCAAAATCAGGAATTGCCTCAGCTAGAGAGACGAACTTGGAGACTTGAATATTTGGATCTCGGGCGATCTCGGCCAGGTAACTGTCGATGAGTTTTGCCACTTTTAACTTGGAACTATGCGTAGCACAAGTAGCTCTTCTACTCTCCGAAAAATCTATGTTCTCCGCTGATCGAGTCCTCCGCCGGCTCTCGCCTGGCTGACGTGCACGAGTCGGACTGACTGGAGGACTTTGGTCTTGCATAAGGAAGTGTTCAAGTATGTGTTGAATGACGTCAACATCAAACAAAGTGTTATTTGTATAAGAAAGAGATGGAATGAGGAGGTCGTCAAGAGTGGCCTCTTCCAGCTGGAGACCTATTCGCCGAGCCAGCTCCATTTTGCACGATGGAGATGCATTCAAGATAGTAGCTGCTTTGAGCAACTTCAACAAAAAGCTGCAACAAGACGTACCCTTTTCTGCAGGTAGTAGATTCACTATGGTCTCCAGTAACAACCTGTGCTTCCCAGCAACTTCTATTGCCTCACATGGAACTGAAGCAGCTGCTGATGGTCTTGGAGCACTATCTTCCTTTGATAGACCAGGTAACCATCTCATGGCGTAAAGCCTAAGTGCCTCTCCTACCAAATCCTGAGCCATTCCTTTGGCTTTGATAGCTACCATCACCCTCCAGTAGAAGTCCATCTCCAGCTCCAAAATGTCCTCTGCCCACCAGTCTTTGGGGACAACCCGATGGCGACGACTTTGAATACCATTCCATGGCGGACTTGTTAAATCTGTGGTAGAATGTTCGACGCTTGTAACAGTTGCAGTGGGTGTTCGAGTGTGAGTAAATGACCAATCGACCTTGGCAGGATCCGTCGCAGTTTTGGATGCAATAGAATCTATACAGCGAGCAACTATTTTCAGGTCTTCGGACCAAGGCATCAGAGCCTTGCAGCTTTGAAGCACGATGATAGAGTCTTTCCAACTCCGGAAGATACTTGTGTTCAAGAAAACTTCTAGCTTGTAGATGAGGTTACCCTTCTCGATTGCTTCTGTCATTTCCAGGTACTCCGCTCCGCAGCGCACAGGAACCACATTGTAGGCGTTGAACGTGATTGCTATTCCGTAACAAAACTTCATACACAGCTCCAAAGACTCGTTGCCGCCAGGGAAGTCTTCGAGATCTATCTCATTTGTGCTCATCTCCCGTGCCTCAGCTATCAATTTTTGAAGCTTGCCGCTTTTGCACAGAAGAGGAAACTGCCATCCAGAACTAAAGGTCAGCTACACACTCTAGAGAGAGAGAGAAAGAGAGAGATTGATTGATTGATTGATTTACCTTGTGAAGATGGAGTTGTGCATCATCAACCTTGATGACTACATCACTGGAAAGGTCTGTTGCCACTGACCTGCAAAACATATACAAGGTTCAATCAGGTAAAAAACAAAAGTCTCACGTTGTGTTCGGGACTAGAATGCCCCCCGCATCTGATGGGGCAGAAACACTTTGACTGTACGTTCTGATTCACTAGAAATTAAAAGGTCTTCCACTGGCGCTTTATCCAACAATTTTCACGACTTTCGAGAATATAGTGTATACGGTAATTAGAATCTGTTCGACACATAATTAGCTCATGCCTGAAGCCCACTACAGCACTATCTCAAGGAACAGTGCACAACTTCCACTTAACCATTCCCACATGGAGAAGACATCATGCGTGACATCCGACGCCTTGAGATTAGAGCAACCCAGCATAGAACATGGCTGCGGCAGCGAACATGGTGAGACGTTCACTGACGTAGCAAAATGCGATGTACCTGAAACTTATTCGTGTACGGATCAGTCAATTCTTATTATAAAATGTCATTTCAACGACCGAACGTGCATCAACTCGGACCAGCTCGTTCACGGATGAAGCACTTGCTAGCCTTTGAATCTAGTGCCAGCTCTTGCTGGCGCCATTCCAGCGCTCAAACTGACTCACAATTGCGACAGATGTCGCGAGAGAAGAGCTCCCCAAGCTGGCAGAAGCGAGAGTAGACTGGCAAGGAAGCAAAGGACGCTGCAATTGCAAGCGCTCCGCCGCGAAATAGAGCCCGGGGCTCATTCTGGTGACTAGCGGAAGCGCCTGCTGAATCGAGAGAGGGGTGGGTGGAGACTTACGTGACGTTTCCGTCGGTGTGGAAAATGTCGACCTTGGCTCCCAATTTCATGAACTTCATGATGGACGAAGCTTGCGAACACGAGCGTCAGCTAATTCGAAGCGGCGGACTCTCGCAGCTCTCGTGCTACCTGTCACTGATGAACATCGTCGCCGCTCATCCTCCTCGTGCCGTCACGTCACTCCTGCACAATCCTCTCGCGAGCGCGGGATCTAACATCCCGCAGCTGCTGCTGCTGCTGCTGCACCTCCTGCGGGCTCTCCTCGTCCCGATATCAACATCAACGTAGAGAACGACGACCATCTACAGCTCGCACAAAGCGTCATAGCATGCAATCCACGAACGAAGGAGAAGGGCACGTCATATTTGTGTCATCAAAGCCTCCAGCGGTCAAAGGTCCGGATGAAATTCTGGGCCCTTCCAGCGCACGACACCATTCCCTCATCCCCGACAAGCGAGCAGCAGTTCTTGCGGCCGCTCATGCCTGTGCCCGACATCCAGCTCGCTCAGGCTCCGCGAAGGAGAAGCCCTTTGCGCGACCGAGGCCAACCCCGGAATCAATAAGGACCCGAGCCCCGCAACCGACAACCGAAAGTGCGGGAACGCGAGAGCCCCCGTGGAATACGCCCATTCAACACGACGACAGTACGCCCGGTCCCTCCCTCCCTCCCTCCCTCGGCCGAGGGACCCGCTCGCTCGCTCGCTCGCAAAAGCGGCTGCGGCAATTCCTGCGACCGATCCCCCGCAAGCCGCTTCTATTAAAGGCTGCTGCCCCTCGGACCAGCTCTAGCTAGAGGAGTGCGGATGGAGCGCCAGATGGAGAATGGCGATTGCTCCCGGACCGTCCCTGAATGGTCCCAGCTGCGCGGCCCCTCCCTCCCTCCCTCCCTCCTTGCGTTCCCGCCGATCGCACTGCACTGCTGCTGCGCGGTGCCGGGCGGCCAATCGCCGAAGAAATGCGCCTAGCTCGCTCGCGCTAGGCGGGCAGGTGTTTTGGTCAGCGGCAGCACGAGGCCAAGATTTCACGACCCAATGGGTTGGCGAGAATTAGAGACGCGAGTAAAGCTCCAATGTGCGGAGGATTGAGCGGCCCGGCCTGGCCCGCGCCAGCCTTGGCTGCTTGCAGCGAATTACCTCAGCCACAAACCCGAGCTCCGCCTGCCAGCCGTCGATGGCCGACGAGATGGTGCACCGGTTCCTTCCTTCTCTTGGCGACGCAATCCGCTCGACGCTCGCAGTTGAATGTTCAGCGCTGATGGCATGATTCTGCGTCCAGACTCGGCCTCGGAGATTGCAGCATTTGCATACTCCCGCTGTCACCGACAGCCGCCCGGTCGAGGATTGTTGCGAGGCGAGGCGAGGCGATGCGGGTGGGGTGGTTGCAGTCAGTCGAGCTGCCCGTAGCACCGAAAGTGGGGTCGAAGTTCGCAAAGCATGACCGCGCGACGCGCAACAGCGCTCGCTCACTCGAAATTGACCACCAGCGGAGTGCGAGCGACCATCTTTCGCGATGCAGCAGCTGGCTCAGCTCACAGCTCAGCTCGAGAGTCGACTGCGGCAAGAGAGAGGGCTTGGATCGACGAAGCGCACCCAAGAGCTGGCAAGAGCGTCGTGCCGTCTGATTCTTCTGCTGGACGAGTACAGCTCGTGCAGGTGGTGCAGTCGACGGTCTACGTCCGCGCTGCTGTCCCGACCCACTGAACTACTGAACTACGGAAACAGACTCACACGAGCTCGCTCGCTCGAGCAACAGCAGCAGCTCCTGCAGTGGACTCCGAAATTGAGGCCGGATAAAAGTACCACTAGGCCGATGGAACGTGGTGAGCGAGAGCCGGATGGTCTATATACGTATGGCAGCAGGCAGGGCGGCAGGAGAGCGTGCGACGGGACGCAAGATTTGGCTGGCGAGCGAGGTGGTGGACGAGCGAGCGAGCGAGCGAGTCGAGCAGGCAGGCAGGCAGGAGACGGGACGGGACGAGAGGAGAGGAGAGAGAAGGTGGAGGACTGGGAAGGACTGGAATGTTCAGGGCAGCAAAGAGGAGGAGAGGCGGAAGCAGGCAGTTGCTGCAGGGTTCAGTTGCGAAGGCAGGCAGGCAAGGCAGAAGTCCATGGGCAGCAGCAGCAGCAGCAGCACAGCAGCGCTGCTGGAGGCTGGGCTGGAGGAGGGGGCGGGGAGAGGGCCCTCCTCGCCGCTGCTCGTGAGGCAATGTAGCAGCAGCTGGTGCTGCAAGAGGCGGAGGAGGAGGAGGAGGAGGAGGACTGCGAGTAGGCGACTTCTGAAAGGAATCATCCCGTCCAGTCGTAAGTCAGTCGGCCATCAAAACTCGAGAGCAGTAATTACACCACCACCCAACCCGAGGAACAATGGGCTCCCTCCCAGATTCTAACTCCTGCCCGACCGCCCCCGCCCCGCCTCGCCTCGCCTCGAGAGGGAATATGCACGTAGGACACCACCTTACGTCCAAGAAATTTGCAGCTCTGTCTGCACTCGAGCGCGACTACATCACCGCCGCTATCATAGTCCCTCCAGTTCTGACTCGCGTCGTAAAGCTCCCCCCCCCCCCCACCCGCCTCCCCCCTCCCCCCTACTTCCGTCCCCTCGCTGCGACGTACCAACCAGGCCTCATTCTGTCCACCACCGCCAAACCAGTCCTTCGCAAATTCCAGCATGCCCGTGGACACAAGAGCACTGCCACTTCTAAACCTTGGCCAAACTCCTCCACCCGCCTCCTCCACACTGGAAGCTTCGCACGCATCAGCTCGCGGCCCTGCATCAGCCTTAAGCAAGCCAATTCGCTGTCAACTTACAGGGCTACAGCTCAAGCCCTGCCGACCCTACGCATGTATGGGCCTCGTTCGCATTCTGCGAGGTTATGCGAGCTGATAATGCCTTTCCATGCCATGTGTGGGCCGGACGAGCCAGGTGCCCCCCTCGCCCCGCCCCTCCCCTCTCCGCCCCGTTTTCCTTACTTTATGATTCTTGTTACTCGCTTCCCGCTCGTCCATGGAGGTGAGCAGAGCAGAGCAGAGCCGACGCACTTTACCTTACCCGGCGCAAGGACAGAGTGAAAGTCGGGCCGGCACATTCGGCGCTTTCGCATATAAGAATGATGTTCGCGTGCTTTATCATATGCAAGTATCTAGCGCTGCGAATGCCTGCGAACTGTGTTCGTATGCGAGAGCCCCAATTTAATAACATTCCGACGCTTTGTCTCTTATCTCGCCGCTTCCCTGGACGAGCCCCCCTCACTGTCGCTCGACGAATCCTCTTACCTACATTAGATCCTCAGCCATTTTGGCCACACGTCCTCCCAGAACGCGTCCCTGTTTCTCAGTACTGTGCCACCGATTGCACTGAATGTTCCCGCTAAAGCAAATCACATGCTCTCCTGGTTCTATTGTACAGCGTTCCTAGTGAGCGCAGAAACGGAAACCTCGAGCATGGCCGCAGCAGGCAGACAGATAGAGCTGTTTGTAAGCAGTGGCCGGACTGAGGCAATGGCGGTTAGTCAGTGGGCTCGAACAGTACGAGAAAATGATGGCTTGGCTTGAAACCTTGGCTGGACTTGGAGGGTCGGCAGTGGATGTCGGATTGATGGGTTTGTTGGATGGGTTGCTGCGAAGCGCTCGACTGGCGACGCCGAGTGCACTCAGTCAGTCCTCCTCACGCATACGATGTGACGTGTCTTCCACTCGGGGCTCGGTGCTGGTGGCTCTGCTTTGCCTCTGTGCTAATTCTCGCTGTGACCAGTCGTCATCGCACATTTCACCTTTTGCACATCAGCACAGAAAGGAAGAGAGAGGGAGCGAGAAAGAGAGGGACAGGACGAAAGGAGGAAAGGAGATCGATAGGTTCGTGTAGATAGATCGTAAGAAAGTGGACTAGGCTACGTCTGATTTTGGTTGAGGCGAGCTCCGCTGCAGACTTGGCATGCATCGGTCGAGCATCGCATTCGCCTCCTTGGGCCAGCCGTGTCAGAGGCTTACGCCCGGCGCCGCTCGGCCAAAATGTCTTGTAGTCGGGCACCATGCGCCGGAAGAGGCATTGCCATTTGGATGAATTTGCTGAGCACCTCTGGCGCCGCTGCTGCTGCTGCTGCTGTGGGACGAACGCATTTTGTTTGGCTTTCGAATAAGATAAAAGGCGAGCGATCGATTTGATTATGCGCATCTTCTGAACAGAATGCCCTGCGAAGACGTAATTCCGACTCGCTCGCTCGCTCGCTCGAACGGCTTGTGCTCCAGGGGACCTACAGCCTCTAGAGAGAGAGAGACCTAGAGGGCGAGCGATCTTTTCAGCCGATGGTGGTTATAGGATTTTGACCTCGGTAAGAATGTCGGCTCGACGCTTGCAAGCCAGAGGGACAAGGACAAGAACAAGGCGAGCCCTTGCATCGTCTTCTTCCTCCTCCTCCTCTCCTCCACCTCCTCCTCGGTGAGATGTGCATGAGTGCTGGGACCTCGGCTCCCTGTAGTAGTAGTATTCGTGCGCCGCTCGAAAGCAGCAGCTCCAGATTCGTGAGATGGAAAAGGTGCCTCGCTTTCCTGCTCTGAGACTTTTCGATTCACCTCCGCCCGCGAGCACAAGGATGGGCTGAGCTCAGCCTCGCTCCAATCCCAGAGCGCTCGAAAAGAGGCAACGGAACAGAGTGGTGGCGGGCGAGCCCGACCTCCCACATGGTTGGAGGCCCGGACCGCCCTGGGATCGGAGCAACGGAGGATCGGAGGCAACACTGGCTCTTCTTCCTTTCGCCCGCCAACTCCCTCCATCTCCATCTCCATCCCCATCCCAATCTCAATCTCAATCTCGAACGAGCCAACGAAGGCGGGCTCTGACGACTGGGAATAGTCTTAAAGAAGACCGATGATCACGCTCATCGAGCTTAATGAATCGGTGATGTCATCATGCGATCGCCTTTTAGTTTGCCAAGGACGAGCACCAGAGTGATTAATCTCAATCAATGACTTACGAGCCCCAAAGAATATACTCTGATCCGAACCGCGATGCCGCCGCTGCTGCTGTCGATCCTTTACTCGTCGGGCCTCGGCAGCATTGAGGCATTTGACGTCGAGCTTTCTTAAATGAGGACAAATGTCCGAGCCAGCGGGCTCTGGGCATTAAGCGCGCTAGTCGGGGAGGGATGGCGGAAGAATTGGACCTCGGAGTCCTGTCCCAGCGGGAGGCAAAGGACGAACACAAGTCCTAGCCAGCGTCGGAGGCAATTCTCGTGCCGGGGCTGGGCTGGGCTGGCTGCAACATCGGGGCCTCAAATGCGCGAGACGACGGATCAGGTAGTTCTGCTGGCAGTTCGTTCGCCCGGACTCGGAGGCTTTGCGGGGATTCGGTTTGACCTCGAGAGCCCCGGCACAGCGGTCCACTGCTGGACATGGAAACTGTTGCCAGGGGATGCGCAGCGCTGGGAAAGACTTGTTTGACATGGATTCTGCCACTCCTTTTCGCAGCCGGCGTCCACATTTGCGCGGTCGCGCGGGCATCCGGCTGCGAGGGAATCAGGAGCTAAGCGTCAAAACTGTCGGAGGCCCATGGAGCGCTCGCGAGCATGGACTCCAACCCAACTCAGGCTCAGGCTCAGGCTCAGGGCACAGGGAGCGATGGATGGAAGGATGAATGGATGGCTGCGTGGCCCATGGAGACCGAGTTGGTGTCGACGACGAGGTTGCAAGCACTCGAGTCTGACTTCGCCGTGAATCCTCCTCTGCTGCTGCAGCATGCACGGAGAGAGCGAAAGGAGAATGATTGCGACGACAAGTGTCGCGCCTTTGGACGACATGATTAGTGGCAAGTTGAGGGCGAGGTCGAGAACATGTGAGAAAATCCCCGAACCAAACTCGGTAATGGACGGCGCAATGAGTTCAAATCACAACTGTCCAAATCGAGCCCTGGGGGCCACAGCAGCGACGACAACGACGACGACGACGACGACGTGTTGCCCTTGAAATTTCGTGCAAGGGGTCGGATTTGTCCACATCCTGCTTTCTGGAAAATTCCCACCTGTCCCACTTCGTGCCCCGTGGGGATGGTCCAGCGCCTTCGGTTGTTACACCGAGTGGACCCTCGTAATTCCGAGCCTTCGCCACACAAGAGACAATGTCCACACCGGTGGCTTTGCGTACAAAATGCATTCACAGTCTACGAGAAATCTCGCGCTGATTTCCGAGGAGGAATCGCAGTTCGAGCAACGGCGCGGTCCATCCCTCGGGTCTCCTCGACCGGACTTTCTGTCCAGTGAGTGAGCCCCAGGTCAGCGCAGATGTCCCCCCGTAGAATCCACTGCGATTGCAATTCCTCTGGACAAACACAGAGCTCGCTCGCTCGCTCGCTCTCTCTCTCTCTCTCTCTCTCTCTCTCTCTGACTGTCACCAGCGGAATCTCGACCGAGGGCAGACTGTTATCGAGCTCCACGAGCCCCCGGCCGTAATCGCTCTAAGCCCCGACCGTCGGAGCCGTAGGCCCACGCGCCAGGGGGTTGTCCGGTAAGCCCCCCGGCAGGCATCTCGGTCAGACAGCACATTCATTCGGTTGAGGTTATCCCCGGTTATGGTCGAGCTGCTGATGAAATGGCCTCCGTGACTCGTCAGTCCTGTGACGCGAATCCGGATCCGAATCCGTCGAGGGCAGATGAGATAAGCGGAGACGAGGGCAAAGATGGAACGGAGGGGGCCTTCATTGGTGCTGGCTGTCTTTCAATGAATGTGTCCTTTTGTGCATCGAAAGCTTTTAAAGATGATGCCTCTGCGTTTGCTCAATGAATGTGTCCTTTTCCCAGTGACTGGCTCTTTAAGGGCTTAATTCTGCGCGTGCTCATGGCCCTCGTCCCCTCCATGAATGTGTCCTATTCTCATGTGTGTTCTGCGCGAGCGGCCCCGTGGTACAAATTGTTGAAACCTCCATGACTCGATGTGCGGCTCGCAACAGCCCCTCCCCCCTCCCCCACCCCCGCGAATACTCCTCCACGCCTTTACTGTATTTAGTCTCTGGCCTACCTGAGCCCCCGACATCGACCACTTTCTCGAACGAGAATTGACGTACCCCCTCAGCGGCTCTTTCCATTTCCAGCTTCCTTTCCCCCACCCCCCTCCCACTAACCCCAACCCCCCTCTCTCTCTCTTTCTCTCTCTTCCTCCCTCCATCGCTTTTCTTCCTTCCCCATTCTTCAATGTCTGAAAGGAGGGAAACAATATCTGGACAAAAGTTGCGACCTCGGGGAATCCGGACAAACAATTCAATTCGTTCCGAAAGAAGGAGGGCGAGTCCAGAAGGGGCCGGGTGGGAAGATACCGTGTCGGTGACTCGTATAGATGTACGGTACTGTGTAAAAGTATGTATGTCGCAGATTATGTCTACCTCGTCTCCAGCGCTCACTTATTCGGCGGACAAGAAACAGGCTCGATACTTCGTTCGTTCCAACTTCGAACGTGGACTTTCGTTGGCGAGAATCCGCTCATCTCTACGGAACGTCAGCTGTGGATACAACTAACTTGCCATGAGCGCTTGGTCTAAAGTCTAAACGGTGATGGCCGAATTGGTCGATTTGGGTTGCTTCTCGGGAACTGCCTCCATCCTCGTACATGTCTCCGGTACATGTTGATACGAATTAGTTAATACGAATTCGGTTTCTCTACATCGAACTCCTTCTCCATCACACACAAGAGACTGCGTTGTGTTTCTTCGAGGATGGAGAATTTGCAGTCTAATTCATTGACCACGAGTCGTTGCGAAGCTCGGGTCTGGCCTACAGTGAGGAGGCAGCGACATACCAAAATCTGGCGAATAGTTTATGATTCATTTGTTCTGAAATGTGGAGATATTTATCTCCGGAGGCAGATCCGAAGATATAATAATCCAATAGCTACTCATCGTTCTAGGTACATGGGAATTTGCCCTTCCTCTCTCACTCAACGTTGTGTGTACATTCTGCTTTTTAGGACATGTGCGCGTAGCGTTTTAGGGAATGTTTTTCATATCTGAATCTACGTCCTGAAAATATCAAGAAAAGATACGCATACATTTCAGGGAAATTTGTGAGCTGTTCCTGACATCTATTTCAAATTGTATTTCTCACCTAGCAAACATTTATATAGACTCCTGAAGCGACAAGAGATGTTTATATGTGGATTGATCGATGCTACTCATATTATGAACCAGACTCAGTATCATAGAGGAGATGTTCCCCGTCATTCTAACCGGAAGAAAATTTGCTGTAACGTTGGAGTCCGTGCTTTTTATATCCTGTAGGTGGCCTTGATGCTGACAATGTCAATCTCTTACATCATGTACATGAATACCTGTATGTTGTCAATCTGATAAGGGAAACGTATACTCACCTGCGCAAGACAAGAAAAGTTGGCGTGTAGAGCTAAATTAAGGGACAGCATGATCCATTAACATGCCAATTAGGAATCTCAGCTCCACAAAAGAATCTGAGCTTGGCAACAAAGAAATCGCGTCAATCTCTAGAAAACTTTGTTTTTACAACATCGATTTGTTGGTTCCAGTGTTTAGACCTCGTGAACGAATAACATCCTTTGTTCATTCCATGGTGCTCAACCTCTCACACGTATTCCCAAACTTCCAGATGATTCTGGCAAACAAATTTTCCGCGCAAGGGAATAAAGAAATATCTTCAAAGAAACTTGGTGTATTACAAATCTAAGCATGCGAGTCATATATTTCCCACAAATTGGAATACATCGTGAGCAATTCTCTCAGAAAATTTTTTGTGTATTAGTTTATGCACGTACAGCTGGAGTGCGATATTTGGGAGCATAGATAACATGCTGGCTGTGAGAAATATCGTGAGACTATGGCCCTCTGACAATGGAAATAGAATCGTCACGGTGTATCTGGGAAGTTGCAAAATATGAATGATGATGTTGAGGTCGAGAGGTTTTACCTTTTTTCATCGTCGGACAAAAGTCGAACACATGGAGCGTGCCTTGAAGAAGTTCGCGTGGGTGGCTCAAGGAGAAAAGAGAAGATAGTTTCCTTCTTCGAATATTGACATCCTCTGAAGCAGAATCCTGCATGTATAACACTCCAAAACCCGGTGCCATGTTCGATTCAAACTCTCGCGCAAACCGAAAGCAGAAGAGTCCAAATCCTAGGGGTTAGCTCTGCGATTCTCGACGCTTTCGCATGTTCATGTCCACGGAATGTCAAATGCTGTGCTCTCCATCGATACACAGCCCACACATGGGAAATCAGAAGCGTTTTTGAGCGGTCTTTGATGTTTCCAACGCGAGTATCCGAGACGACGACGTAGAATGCGCAGGCGTAAACTAATCGGAAGCACGTCGGCGGTCTTTTCTCGACGACCGTATGCGGAAGACAAAGAGCCCTGACACGGCGCCAACGGGCAGAGGGAAATTGTGCCTCTAACTAATTGGCAGAGGAGGGGGCAGAGGCAGGCCAGGGGGGTTGTGGGGGTGGGGGGGTGGGGTTGGGGCAGGGGCAGGGGGCTGCCGGGTAACGGAGGTGGTGGGGGCCAGAGTGGGGGGGGACCCTGCGGAGAAATGCTGACAAACGGGAGACCCGAGAAAGCGAAACGGTGAAAGCCCATGAAAGTACGGCAGAGGAGAATTTACAAAGGCGTCCACTTTCTCCGACAAGCTTGCTTTATCGCCGGGGCCTGTCAGGCGGTGGGCCCCGCCCAAAAGACAAGAAAAGCGGCGAGTGGAAGGGGATGATGTCGGAAGAGAAACGTCATGATTAGAATGATCATCACCCATCCTCCTCGCCATGGGGGCAGGCCGGCATGGTGTTCTCCAGCCCACGCGCGGCACCAGCCGTCATACGCTTTCTCTCGGCGCCCCCGTTCGGCGGACCGAGCCTCCCCGCAAGCAAGCAAGCCCGCTGCCCCAACCCCTCCCCCGCCCCCATCCCCATCCCCCACAGCCCCAACCCCCTCCCCCCGGCCCCCATCCCCATCCCCACACTTCCCCGCCCACTCTCCCGCCCGCGCCACTGCCTGCAGTACAGTCTTTTCTACCCCACCATGATGATGGACATTCCATCCAAATCTCGTATACGGTTTCCGTATGAGACTCGGGAGTGTCGTATGGAGATGTAGAGGGGCTCCTCGTGAGGGAGAACGAGAAAGAGAAGAATGTCAGTGCGGCAGCAGCCGCCCGCCGCCGACATACGCCAACCTGATGCAGTATCTTTACGTGTCATGTGTCTCGTGCTCGTCGCATCGCCGGATCGCCTCCATCTCCAGCGGACGGTTTTACTCTCGTCTCCCGACCTATGGCCTCCGACCTCTTTCGACCATCCTCTGATACGCTACGGAAACGAGCGACTTCCTCAGTTTGCCTGAGTTTAAAAGCCACCGACTCCAGGACTCACCTTCAGTCATTCAGATTGGAGAATTGGGAATGTGGCGAGAGGTAGGGTAGAGATAAGGGAGAGAACGACACACGATCCATGGATCTCGATGCGTTGTTTTTGGGGATGAGTATAGAATTTTGGGGAATTCAGATTTGCAACAGCTGTTTTGAAGCCTTGAATTCGCTAATGATGGACCCGAGACATCTTGCACCAATCATTTTCTCGTTACACCGTGTGCGCAACAAACTAATCGAATTACATACTGAGTGGAACAGAAATATCACATCCCCTCAGATATTGTCATCATCATGCTACTGGAAACGGGAGCGTTGCTTGGGCACCTTTACCAAGTTATATTCACTGCCAGATCTCGTCCACTCCATTGCGACAACAGTCCAAACCATGTGGACAACGGAGAGAGACATATCAGGATTGTTTTTGGCACAGAGCTTCAGTCCTCGAGGGCGTTTGGCAAGAATGAGTTTGATGTGTATTATAGTAGTTCTCGGAGTATAATGCTGGAGTAGAATGATCATGGCCGGTATATTCATGAACCTGCATTTCTCCAACCTCGTGCGATTACGGAGTATCTCGACAATCGATCCCAAAGAAATCCACCACCCACCAACTCAAGGAAATTCATTGCCCAAGGAAAAGAAACAACTGTACCGACGATTGTACTGAGCAATGTCATCCTTCTTACGCACTCTCTCTATTAACTAGCCGAGGCAACCGAGCTCACTACATACTACCTTACCTGCTACGATGAAGAGCGACGGCTCACGACATCCCAATTTGGGAAATACTAAATTCCCTTGTTAGTAGCTATTATCTTAGAGCATGGTCCAGTATATTGGTGAGAGAGGTCCGGCTTGTAAAGTTCATTGTTCCAACTGTACCCCACTCCAGAAAGCTTGGCGCTTCCTCATTTGCTCAGTAAGGCATGTAACACGGGTACAGGAGAGTTACAAGCAGATTCTCAACATAATTTTTTAGGCAAACAATGATCCCGACCCTTATTATTTCATAGACATCCTTACATTTCCCTATCACCCGAAGCAAGTGAGTTTCTTTGCCTAGCATTATATACTAAATGCAGTTACAAGTTGTGTGTGTCAGGGTAAGAGTTTTTCAGTGCATGTAAATTTATCATTCTTTATTGAACCTAATACTGTTTTTTATAAGTTCCAAAAAATATATATATCTTTAGAAAAAAAATGATTCTTATTTTGAGATCTAACTCTATCTTCATAAATTCTCTAACTGATATTTTTTATCACTTTTGTTCTCCTATCTAACTCTAGATTATATCTTTTCATCCATGATATTTTCAGATAACATCATATCAAACTATATAAATTATTTTCACTCAATCTTTTCCTTGTATCTACCTAGAGATAACTCTACACTCTACAGTAGTGTCGCTATTGCTTCCGTTTGACAATACTTTTTCACTCATATACTTCATCAACATCATTTTTAATTTGATTGCAATACATTTCTTGATGCTCCGATATCAATCAAAACTTTCACCTTC